ACTCCAGTCTGGGCGACAGAGTGAGACTCCAACTCAAAAAAAAAGAAAAAAAAAAAAAAGAAGGTTGCTGTGGGTACAGTGGGCTGTAACACCCACCCCAAGGGTTGCTGAGGTAAGCAAGATGAGGACACAGATAAGCAAGATACAGTAGGGGCACCATAGGTGTTTCTGCTGCTACTTTGCTGCAGTGCTGGCTGTGCTACCTCCCTACCCTGGACCTCACCTCAGCCCCAGCCCCAGACCTGTGGGGAGGTCAGGAGGAGGCTGGTGGAAGAAGGGCCCTTTTGCTGCAGCAAATGGGTCTTGCCACTGGATCGTCCCCTCCCTTGGGAATGAGGCTCTGGACCCCAAGGCTGGGGCTGGAGATGGGGCAGGGCCCCTGGAGGAAGTCCAGGCACCCAGAGGAGAGGTTCTGAACTTCTTGACTGGCTCTCGGCCCCCTCCCTTTCTCCCTCCTCTCTGGTCCTGCCAGCCGGAGAATCTGTTGCTGGCCTCCAAGCTCAAGGGCGCGGCAGTGAAGCTGGCGGACTTCGGCCTGGCCATCGAGGTGGAGGGGGAGCAGCAGGCATGGTTTGGTGAGTGGGGAGGGCTGGCACGGTGGCTTGAGCAGCGTGGCTGGAGATGGCTCTTGCGCCAGCCAGGCCTCGGGGAACAGAGGTCTCACCCCAGCCAGGCTTGGAGCCTGCGGATGGTGGTGCCCATCCCTTCCCTGTGGCCAGGCGTAGGGATGCGGGTCTCAATGGAAGCAGTGGCATGGCATCTTGATGCGAGCATACACTTCCGCTATTGGTGAGGGCTCCCATAGCCCACGTGCTTGAGATGACTGTCCTGATTTTATAGATGAGGAGACAGAGACTGAGAAACTTGGGAGAGGCCAAGGAGGCTTAGAAGGGTGGAGCCAGGACGTAAGCGCGGCTGATCTGGCATGCATTGGGATTCAGGTGTAGCTGGCTTCCTCTCAGCTGTTCAGGATTCGTTCTGGTGGGCATGGAGCCATGGTTACGAACCAATCCTCTGGGCTCAAATAAGGCCTCTGCTACTTACCAGGAGTGTGACTTTGGGCCAGGCATCTCATGGTCTGAACCTCTGTTTCCTCATCTGTAGGCTGGGGATAATAACAGTATGTTCCTCTAGAAGGTGGGAGGACTTGTGAGACCCGGCCCATGGAGTGCCCGGCTGAGTGCTTGGCAAGCACCCTCAGGAATTTGTTGCTATTCTCACGACTTCCTGTAAGGACACTTGGGTGTTCATTATCTAACGAGCCCTCTTAACCGCTCTGGGAGGTATTTAGGGTAGGAGTCCCTCATCCCTCATCTGACAGATGAGGACACGGGACCTAGAAGGTAAAGAAACCGTGCGTGGCCGGGCTCGGTGGCTCAGCCTGTAATCCCAGCACTTTGGAAGGCCGAGGTGAATGGATTGCCTGAGCCTGTGGCTTCGAGACCCATCTAGGCAACTTGGTGAGACCTCGTCTCTACAATCAATCAAAAATTAGCCGGGCGTAGTAGCGCACACCTGTAGTTCCAGCCACTTGGAAGGCTGAGATGGAAGGATTGCTGGAGCCCAGCAGGTTGAGGCTGCGGTGGCCGGGAGTGTGCCACCGCACTCCAGTCTGGACAACAGAGTGAGACTCCAACTCAGAAAAAAAAAAAAGAAACCGTGTTAGGGCTTAGGGGCAGAGCCAGAGTGACGACAAGACCTCAGGACCTTCTGGGATGGGCAGGGGCGGAGCCTTGGCCTGGATTGGACAGGTCAGCGCATTTCAACTTGGAGCCACCAGCAATGGTGTGGTGGGGGCCGGAAAGGGACCCTGCTTTGGCCCAATGGGAAGCGCTCTGCCCCATTGGGATCAGTGCTGTCTGCCATGGGCTCTGGAGTGGGGAGTAGGGGCAGGTATGCTACCAACTTGACAGGCCAGGCTTTGCCCTTGGCCCTGAGGAGTTGTGCAACACAGGCCCATGCCTCTGGGGCAGGGGCTGTCCTCACCCTCTTCCAGCGCATCTTGCTCCGGGCTACTTATACTCCACCTCTGTGTGTGTGTCTCTGCCTGTCTGTGTGTCTGGGGCAGGCTTCGCGGGAACTCCCGGATACCTCTCCCCGGAAGTGCTGCGGAAGGATCCCTATGGGAAGCCTGTGGACCTGTGGGCCTGCGGTGAGTCCTGCGAGACCCTGGGGCACCCTGGCCGCCCCGCCTCTGGGCTCCCTCTCTCCCTCCCCATCGCTCCTGTCTCTCCTCCCACAGGGGCTTGAGGCTTCTCTGGTCCTCTCCCCAGGCGTCATCCTGTACATCCTGCTGGTTGGGTACCCCCCGTTCTGGGATGAGGACCAGCACCGCCTGTACCAGCAGATCAAAGCCGGCGCCTATGATGTGAGTGTCGCTCCTGCCTCCGCCTGGGTCTCCCCTGGTGCCCTCCTGTGAGACCCAGGGCCCAGAAGGCCAGTCTTCCCACCCACCCAGGTCCCCTGCTGCTCTCTAGCTCTGGGGCAGGGTGAACCCCAGGGGAGCAGGAAAATCAACCAGGCCAGGTGGTGACCACACTGCCCTGATACCTGGCGGCTCAAGTGGTGGGATTGACCCTGTGGGGCCCCAGAGGATAGAGGCTACACCAAAGTAGGGTGAGGAGTGGGGGCGGGGCAGGCCCCAGCTAGTTCTATCCTTCTTTCTCTCTCATATATATAACTAATAATGACAGCTGACACTTCTATAGCATTCTTTTGAGTGTTTTATATATAATCACATTTAATACATAATATTGCATTTAATCTTCACCCCAATTTATGGCATAAGGGCAGTTATTATGCTTGTTTTACAGAGAGGCACAGAGAGGTTAAGTTACTGCCCAGGTCACACAGTTGAGCAGTGGTAGAGCTGGGGTTTGAACCTGGGCAGCCAGATCTGGTGTCCATACTTCTAGCTACCAAGTGCTACTGCTTCTCTGCAAAGCAGGTCTCTATAAAGTTATGTGCCATGTGTTGTATATTGCATGCAATTCTTGCAATATCTCTAGGGGTAGCTCAGGGGTCATGTGACTCACCCAGGACATACACCCTGGGATGCAGAGCCAGGAATTGAACCTATGCCTTCTGCTTCTGAAGTCTGAGCTGTGGCCACTGGCCTGCCGCTTTCCAGACCAGGGACAGCCTCAGAATGACAGAGTAGGCTTCCTTTCCCCGATCACGTTCTGATTTGCTGGGAATGGGAGCCCCGCCCCTCCCCCACGTCGAGGATCCCCGACTCCTTAGGCTGCGGATGCCTGATGGATGGGCCGCAGGACCCCTGCCTGCTCCCCTGCCAGTCAGGGGCTGGGAGATCGCAGGGGTGGCCTGGCACAGGCTGGGCAAACCTGGCTCCTTTGTCCCTTCCAGTTCCCGTCGCCAGAGTGGGACACTGTCACCCCAGAAGCCAAGGACCTGATCAACAAGATGCTGACCATCAACCCGTCCAAACGCATCACAGCTGCCGAGGCTCTCAAGCACCCCTGGATCTCGGTAAGCCTCCTGCTGCAGGACGCCCAGGCCCCTCCAGACCTCGGGGTCTTGGCCCAGCCTGGGGCCGATGGACCTTCAACCAAGATACTCTGACCCTGCTGTGGTTCTCGGGAGTGATGTGGAAATGGGGGGTATCTGGGGCAGCATCACAGTTGGGGGTGCTGTTGGCACTGAACGAACATTTGTGTCAGGACACGAAGAGCACAGAATCACTTTCCTAAGATGCCAACTGCACTGCATCAAGGCGCCCATTGGGGGCGCACCCGGGTGGGCCTGGCCTCTTCCTGCCTCCGCTCACAGCTCCTTTCCCTGCAGCACCGGTCCACGGTGGCCTCCTGCATGCACAGACAGGAGACCGTGGACTGCCTGAAGAAGTTCAACGCCAGGAGAAAACTGAAGGTAACACTTCTCCCCCTTCACCCTCCGGGCTGGGCATCACTCAGCCTGGGTCTCCACAGTGGCCAAGAGACTTGATCGCTCGATCTCTCCTTCATGGATTCAGCAAGCGTTTACTGAACACCTACTGCATGCTGGACGGCGGGCTGGGCTTGGGGAGTGAGCGGTGAATGAGACCTCATCCTCACCTTGCCTGAGGCGAGGACAGATAAGGACCAGGGATGCTGTGGGATGAGTTCCGGGCAGAGGCAGGCTCGGGGTGGCGGGTACGCAGAGAGGGGCAATGGCACTCTCAGATTTGGAAGGATCCAGAAGCTTTCCTGGAGGCAGGAATGTTTACGCTGAGACCCTGAAGGATAAGCAGATAGTGCCAAATGCAGAGTCAGAATGAGAAGATGTGCCCAACAGCCTGTGCAGAGGCCTGGAAGTACACACACCCCTCGGGTACCACAGGTGGTTCTGGGTGACTGGGGAGAGCTTTTAGGGGTGACAGGTGGCTGGACAGGAGATCACGGTTGCGGGAGAGGCCCAGCCGCCAGGGGCTGGGGAGGCGTGGCTGAGGGCCTCAGACAGTGGTCGTGGCCTGAGGAGGCCTTAGTGGGAGCCTGGTGGGCCCTGTGCTGTGGCCTTTCGAGGGTCCTGTGTGCTCTCTGGGCTGTGACAGCTCCTGGCCAGGCACCAATGGGCCTGGGCGGGTCAGACGAAAGAGCCACTGGCATGCCAGGAGGCTGAGGACAGATACGAGGCCACAGGCCATTTGGAACCTCCTCGCCTCCTGCTCCCAGGCCTGGAACAGAGTTACAGGATGGGGATGTGGGCCGTGGAGGTGGCGGCCGGCAGGATGCCAGGAGAGCCGTCCTACCCACCCCGCACGGGAGCCGCAGAACAGAGGAAGTCTCAGAGTATCAGACTCAGGCATGCTGAACCAAACAGACTGTTGGACTCAGAGTATCTGAATCAGGTTCGAGCCAGACGGCGTCAGAGCCAGGAGGGGCGTTCCCCCCAGCTGCTTAGGACAGAAGAGGGTGTTTCCTCATCACAAGCCCTCCAAGGCTTGCCCCAGGGGTATGGGGGACCAACTAGTCTGGAGCAAGGTGCCCTCAGCCCAGACAGAGGGCCAGGAGGTAGGGGGCCGAGGGATGCAGGTCTGCCGTCCTTGCCCAGGCTGGAAGCTTCCGTGGCCTTTAGGTAGGTGTCCGTTGGCTCGGGCTAGGCTGAGGGCCTGTTGCTACGTGCTCTTGGGATGGCCCTGTCCCAGCAGCTGTGTCAGCTCAAGTCTGGCTCACCCCAACTTCCCAGGAAGGTGGAGGGTGGGCTGGGGACCGGGGTGGGGTGGGAACGAAGGGAGGGGCAGGGCGGAGCGCTGGCGTCCTCTGCGAATGCAGCCTGCCTCCCCCTCCCTCGCCTTCCTGTCCCTCTGTCTTTGTGTCCCCTCCCCTCTGGCTTTCTACCGCCCTCTTCTTGTCTCTGCAGGGAGCCATTCTCACCACCATGCTGGCCACCAGGAACTTCTCGGGTAGGTGGCAGCACCTCAGAGGCCCCCTGCACCTGTCTGCTGGGGGCACTGTCCTGTAGGATATTTGGGCACCTCCAGGCCAGGGGGCCTGGAGAGACTGGGGGCTTGGCCCACCTGCCACTACCTGTACCCCCGAGGGAGAGAGAGGTCAAAGGTCAGCAAGCCTGGAGCCCATGGTACTGGTAGAGATCTAGCTTTCCCTGCCTTACAGCCGCACCAGGACTCTCAGGCGGGGCCAGCCAGAGGGGAAGCTTCTGGAATATTGAGGTCTGGGCAGGATAGAACCAGGCCAAGGGAGTATCAGTACAGCCCCACTGCCCCTGGAGCCTGTGCTGAGCCGTCCTGTGCTTCAGGTGGCCACAGCAAGGCCAGGAGCTGCTGCCGTCTGTCTCCCGATGAGGAAACTGGAGATCGGAAGCGAGCTCTGACACGGCCCAGGCTGCACGACTAGAGAGAGGCAGGGCCGGCATTTCGTGCAGGTTTGACCAGCCCCAGAGCAAGTGCCCACAGCCTGTGGGTCACCAGGAAGGCTGGGACAGGATCCTCCGCTGCTTGAGGCGGGGAGTGCCTGATTACCTGAGGAATGTGCCTCAAAGAGCGAGGGGAAGGGATTATTGTCAGGGCTTAGCTAGAAGCTCCCCTTGGCACGGTGGAGCACACCAGGGCCAGCGCCCGCCAGAGGCTTCCTCCTGGGGAGCCCAGGACGCTGGCAGGTGGCAGGGCAGATATAGATAGCAGGCAGAGCTCACCCGAGGGGCCCTCTGACTGGGCCTGGGGCCAGCCAGGGAAGCTTCGGATGTGAGGCCAGCTCCAAGAAGGGGCAGTCCCAGCTGCACTGAGCGAGTGCCCCTGCCCAGGTGATCGGTGGGGAAGAACCAGCCCCGAGGTGGGCGAATATAGAACTTCAGATCGGACTTTTCCCACCGCCCGGAATGGTCATCCTATTCCCTCCCCAAACAAGGGTCCTGCCGTTCCTTAAACTGAAAGATGAGCTACCCAGACAGTCAGAGTCTTTTTTTAACAACTGAAAGCGCCTGAAGAACTCTAGTCCTGAGCTCACAAAATAGCGGCCCATGGGGTTGGATCCAATCTCTGTGATTTGTGGAGCCAAAGGTGTTTTAAAAAATTTGGAATGGGTTTCTGGCCCTTAAAAATCAGGAGATTTCAAAGAAAAACTCATATTTCCACCGGACAAAGTGATTTTTGCCTGTAATCCCAGCTACCCAGGAGGCTGAGACGGGAGGATCACTTGAACCCAAGAGGTCGGGGTTGCAGTGAACTATGATTGTGCTACTGCTTTTCAGCCTGGGTGACAGAGCGAGACCCTGTCGGGGGGGGGAAAGAAGAAAGGAAAAGCCCATAAGACTGTTGTCTCTTGAAAATCAGACTCTGTCCTCACTGGCCCGCAGTCCTGCGGCGGGGGTTGGCGTGGAGAGGGGTGCCCTCCCTGAGGCTCAAGGGATCAGTGCACCCCACCCTGCTGCAATCTTAGTCCATCCCCAAAGCCATGGAGGAAGGACAGCCGTTCCTGTCAACCTCAGGACACATAAGTGCTCCAACCTTGATTTGTACATGAGAACTTTGGTCGTGAGCCCTCGAAGGGGTGGTGGTGGAAATGTGGGGTGACCAGGGAGTTGGCCAGCCATGAGCTCATCCCTCAGAGCCCCTGGGGCATCACTGTCCTGCACGGCCCCTCCCAGCTTATCCTCCAGAATGTCTTGTCATGGCTACCGTTTACTGAGCACCTACTGCATGCAGGGCCAAGTACTGTGCCATGATCTTTATAGACGCCTGTCTCGCTGAAGGCACTCCCTTAAGGTTTGAAGCAGCCGGATGCCAGGCTGGGCAGGGCCGGCCATTCAGGCCATTTCCTGGCGGATGTCCACTTGGAGGGCTCTGGCCAGGAGGTGAGGCAGGAAAGAAGGGACAGAGGGGGAGGCCCCCTGAGGGCTGCTACTCTGTTTGTCCCTGTTACCGGGGATGCAGCCAGTGGGGACTGGAGTCTGGAGCGGGAAGACCTGTGCTACCGGGGAAGAGAGACACTCCAGCAGGGGTGGGCCCCACGGGGGCATCTGCTTCTTGTCACCGGCAAAACGCGGCCTGCAGCTGTCCGGAGTGAGTGGGCAGGGCTGACACATGACCTCCGTAGCAGCATGGGGCTAAAATTAGCAAGGCCAGGACGGGGAGGGAGCGACCGGCCGGGCCAGGCAGCCAGGCCTCGGGGTTGGCCACCACCAGCACGGTGGTGACCGGGATCCAGAGGGAATCCCCGGCCTGAGACAGCGACCCACAGTCCCGGGACGCGGCGGACACCTCCCTCCGCCACGGAGCCAGAGGGCTACGCTTCAGACTGCCGAGAGTGGGGAAGCCCAGGCCCACCCCTGGGCCGCCAGCCGTCCCTGGGCTGCCAAGGAGGGAGAAGGAGGAGGAGGAGAAAGTCACCTCGGGATAGCCCAGCCGGCCCCGCCGCCCACCCAGCCCGCCCTCTGGCCGCCCGTGGATGCTGCTCTTCCTGGCGCTGTGGGCCCTGGTGCCCTGCCTGGTGTTGCTGACCCTCTACTTTTTCTCCTCTGCAGGGGGAAAGAGTGGAGGAAACAAAAAGAACGATGGTGTGAAGGTAAGCCTCCCGGAGCCCGCAGGGCCTCGCTCGGCTGCGTGTCCGCCAGCAGGAACTGGCTTTCGGGCCCGGGCAGGACCTGGTATTACCAGCGGCATCCTGGGCAGATGCAGTCATCTCTGTAGTCGAGCCATCCCTGGACGCACGTACCTGGGCTTTGGTGCCCACCCTCTCACCAAGATTGGTGGTGGCAGGTGGGGGAAGGGGCGGAGGACTGCCAAGCGTGTGCCCGGGCTTGGCACAGGCATGAGGGAAGGGGATTCCTGTGGTTCTCCGGGGCTGGAGAACTGGTGGGCAGAAGGGACAGGGAGGGGACAGAAGTGGTCATGAGGGTGACTCCTTCCTGAGTGTGGGTGGCCCTATCCTGCTGCAGACCTCAGGCCAGCCCAGAAAGTCTGCAGAGAACAGAAATCCATTCCCCTAGGATTGGGGGTCCATAGGTGCCCTCCCCACCAAGGTCAAGTCGCCCTCTGACCCCCACCTGCTCTCGTCCCACCCCTGCCACGCAAGCTCCTCCCTCCACGCTGCGGTCCACGTCCCCTCTTTTCTCTCTTCTCCCTCTAGTCTCTGGGCCTGGTCCCTGCTCTCTGCTGCCCCTCCTACTGCCACTCCATCTTCTTCTCTCTTGAGACCCTGCCTTTTCTGGGCTCAGAGCTCTGCCTGGCCAGGGCCCCAGGACTGGGCTGTGCCCCAGACGTCAGCGGGTGGGGGATACTGGACGAAGACAAACATCCAGGTGTGCCAGTGGTTCCATGACTTTGTTTGTGGCGGCATTTGTGGTCTCTGGCTGCTGGCGTGGTCTGTCTGGGTTGCATGGGAGGGTCTTGGCCGCAAGTTCAAAGCCAGCCTTGGGCCTCTCCTCCGCCCTCGGCCTTCTCCTGGCTTGAGTTTCCCCCTGGGTACCACGGGTGGAGTGTGGACCTCGTGATCATTTCCAAGACTTCAGCTTTAAAGACAAAAAAGCCACACAATCTACCTCATCAATCTTCCTCCTCATCTTGGGTGCTTGAGGACTACATCCTTACCTGGTTACTGGCCAAAGTCAGTGGTTTTCAAACTGAACTCTTTGGAGCCCAAAGGTTCTGGGGAGGTTCCTTTGGCTGAAGATGGGGTGGGGTAGGGTTAGAAATCGGGAAGCTGACTGGGAGTGGTGGCTCATGCTTATAATCCCAGCAATTTGGGAGGCCGAGGCAGGAGGATTACTTGAAGCCAGGAGTTTGAGACCAGCCCGAACAACATAGCAAGAGCCTGTCTCTACAAAAAATTTTTAAAAATAGGTGTAGTGGCACATGTCTGTAGTCCCAGCTACTCAGGAGGTTGAGGCAGAAGAATGGCTTGAGCCCAGGAGTTGCAGGCTGCAGAGAGCTATCTATGATTGTACCTCTGCACTCCTAAGCCTAAGCAACACAGCGGATTCTAAAAAAAAAAAAAAAAATAGGAAAGAGAAAGACCGAGTTTACAAGATTCCAGGCATCTCGTGCCCACTTTAGTCACAATCCCACAGTGGCTGAGGGCCCAGGTGGACTTACCAGCAGCTAGACCTGGCTGGTTGTCTAAATTCCCTGAGCTTTGGGGTCTCATCCAATACAATGAGGTTAGAGGATCCCACCTTCTGGAGCTGTCTGCGAGGATGACCTGAGATAAAGTGGCTGAGAACTCACGTGGTGCTGGTGTGTGGTTCATACTCAGAGATGTGGTCAGTATTATCTTTTCAGTGTTATCTATTAGATTTTCAGGTAAGATTTCTCTTGAAGATAATGTTTGCTCAAGAATGTTTGAGAACCACGGGTCTAAAGCCACCCCAGTTTATAAAGTTTACAGGCACCGCCCCCGGTCCTGTAAGGAATCTGACCTTGTGTTTTGGCTTGCCTGCTGTTTGGGGGTTACCCCGAAGCTGACCCCCATTTGAAAGGGTCATAGAGAGATGCGCTAGGAGGTTTGGGACCGCTGGGGCCTCTCTGACCCCCTTGAGTAGATGCACAGCTAGGGGTGCTGGGCTCCCTGGGGGTGCTGGGGCTCCCCAGCCCTAATGTTGGGGAGGTGGGGGCTATGGCTCGGGTTGGTGGGGGGTGGATGGGCAGAGAGAGAGGCTACCTGTCTACATGTCTCTTCGTGTGGCTCTAGCAGACTGAGAAAGAGTGTAGGGTCAGGGAATCCTCCCTTGGGCTGGCCCTGGGGTCAGGAAGGGCCTCCCTTGGGTTGGTCTTGTGAGAAGTTTGAGTGTGGCTCCCCTGGACAAGGCCAGGAGGTGGAGGCTGGCCGACGGCAAGGGCAGCTCACGTGTAGAGGGGCTCTGCCGGTCACCGCTTTCTGCAGACACAGCCAGACACAGCGCCATTGCTTCCTGCCGTGTGGCACAGACCCCGAGTGACTTCTGAGGGAGGCCTGAGTGTGAACAGAGAGAAGCTCAAAGGCCATTCCTGCCCGTCCGTGTCTTTGTAGCTCAGCCTCCTTCCCTTCCTCAGGATGGAGGAGGGAGAATGACCGGGGGCTGGCCCAGGGCCCGGGGAACCCGAGCAGCTCGCTTCCCGAAGGCGTGGGGAGAGTGGCAGGGCCGGGGTCCAGAGGTGTTTCCAGCACGGGTGAAACTGGACCTCAAATCAGGAAGCCATGCATTCTCGTCTGGGCCCTGCTGGTCCCTCCCTGGGGGCCCAGGCCATCTGCTCTCTTTGAGGGGAGCACAGCAGTTTGCAGGGGCTGGTGAGAGTCGCACATCTGAGGCTCCTTTACTGGACACACCTTCAGCCAAAAGGGGGAAATGCAAGTCCTCCCACTTGCTTGGTTTCCAGAGATTCTGCGGTTCCTTCTGGGTGTCCTGGAGGGCGCAGGTGGCGCTGAGGTGCAGGGTGAGCTTCACGGGTTTTTCAAGGCTAACTTCAACCATGCTCAGTCTCCATCATTCTTGTGCCTTAGAACCGAGCTTCCAGATGCGGTTCTGGGGGATGTGACTCTACTTGGTGACAGCCCTGGCAAATGCTCTAACGTGCCAGCAGTGTGGAATTGGCGCTGTCACCACTTGAGATTCAGGGAGGCCGAGCCTTTCTGTCACCAAGAGGCAATGTGCCCTCCTGCCACCCCAGGCCTCAAAGTTCAGGGGCTGATGAGCCCGCCCCCCGCCCCACTCACTGCCCCTGTTGGTGTCCCATCCGTGCCATCGTGACCTCCCTCCCATGTCCCATCTTGTCACTGTGCGTCCCGATCTGATGCGGTCTCTGCTCTGTGTTTCCTTCTCGTGTCCCACCTGGAACCTCCTGCCCCTGCGGCTCCTTGGCTTCTGCTGACAGCCGAACTACGTGGGCCTGGCCCCATGCGGCCAGGGAGTGAGGCCAGCGAGGGGAAAGGTGTTGAGGGGAAGAAGGAGGAGAGGGAGAGGAGAGAGAAGGGGGAAGAGAGGAAGGGGAAGAAGAAGAAGAGGGAGGGGACAAGGAAAGAGAGGAAGGAAGAGAGAAGAAGAAAGAGGAGAGAGAGGGAAGAGGTAGCCAGGAAAGAAGAGCGGAGAGACCCTGGGCACAGTGGCTCGTGCCTGGAATCCTAGCGCTTTGGAAGGTCAAGGCAGGAGGCTCACTTGAGCCTGGGCGTTCGAGGCCAGCTGGGGCAACATAGGGAGATTGTTTCTAGAAAGAGTTTTTAAAAAGGAAAAAAAGAGGGGCAGGGGAGGAGAGGAAGAAAAAGGGAAGAAGGAAGAGAGGAAGAAGGAGGGGGAGGGGAAGGAAGAGAGAAGGGAGGGGAGGGACAGAGGGCCGCCTGCAGGCTGCTGGCTCTGAGCACCTATGTCCTGTGAGCACACAGACAATGGAAGTGCCCGGTGGGCCACCACCCCATCTGTGAGGCCTTGATGGAGGGCATGGGGTCTCGGGTTCCCGGCATGCAGAGGCTCACAGATCTTGGAGTCAGAAACCCAGATTTAAACCCCAGTCCCTCGAGGATCATTGAGTGCGTCCTATGGCAAAGGCCAGGGGGTAGGGCCTCCTGGTCTCTGAGGGAAGGGCCTCTAGGAGAGGATGAGCCTCTGAGAAGGAGATCTGTCAGAGGAGGGAGCCCTGATGCAGGCCTGGGCTCTGTGCAGCCTTGGGCAAGTCACTGCCCCTTGTGGGCCTCAGCTGCCCATCTGTGCAATGCCAGGGTCAGTCTGTGCCTGTGGCTTCTGTGAGCAGGGGGTCTTTAAGACTCCTGGCTGGGAGAGTGAGGGAAGGAGATGGTAACCTCCTTGTCCACCACCTTCCCTCAGTTCCACAGCCAGTGCAGGGATGTGCAAGTCCCCCAAGCACTAGCACAAACCAGATGGCAGGGCCAGAAGGCTCGAGGTTCGGATGCAGCTTCATTTCTAGCTGGGCCTCAGTTTCTCTATCAGCAGAAAGGAGCCGTCTGTAGGCCGGGTACAGTGGCTTACTCCTGTAATCTCGCACTTGGGGAGTCTGAGGTGGGAGGATCACTTGAGACCAAGAGTTAGAGGCTGCAGTAAGCTATAATCACACCCACTGCACTCCAGCCTGGGTGACAGAGTGAGACCCTGTCTCTAAAAAAAAAACGCTGAACAGGCCAGTCACTGGGAAGTCGGATGCCAGCAGGCTGTTGAAGGCCCCTGAGGGGACTGACTACACCGGGGCCTGCTTTGGAATCACCTGGGATACTGTTTAAGAGCAGACACCCAGGCCCCACCACAGACCTAGTTACTAAACTGTGGTGGGACTCCGCATGGTATATTCCGACAAGTGTCCCAAGTGACCACGGCAGTCACCTGGGAGTAGGGCCCGTTAGCAGAGTCAGGAGGTGCCCAGGAAGAGACATCAGGCCTCTCCTCCAGCCCTGAGCACCCAATGTCCCTCAAGAGCACTGGATTCTGGAGGCCCCTTGACAACTGCATCCAGGAGCTAGGGCTGGTCTCTCCATCAGAGTCAGGCATAGCGGGCAGCTCTGGGCCAGGCAGGCTAGGCCTTGAGCTTGGCTTTCAGATGGGCAGACCCTGGACTTCAGGCCAAGGACTGGCCCTGCCAGGTCTGTTGTTGCCGGCGGCCCTGACTCCTTTCCTGGTGCCAAGTGACCAAGGACCACAGAGGATGACTCCGAGGCCTATCATCCTTCCAACCTCCCTGTCGTTCCTCTGCTCCCTGCGTTTTCATGCTGTGTCTTTTCCTGTCCCATCTCTTCTCCTTGTTTTTCCAGAAAAGAAAGTCCAGTTCCAGCGTTCAGTTAATGGTGAGTGTCTGCCGTCTCCTAAACGCCGGTAAATGCTGGGCCTCGAACCCTCGCTCCTGCCTCGCTCCTGCGGGCTGCACTGGGAACCCGGGCGGGGAGAGGGTGCTCAGGGCGTGCTTGGTATGTGTGCCTCGTGTGACAACATGTGTGTTGCGTGTGTGTGTGTTGTTTGCGTGTTTCTGTTGACACCTCCAACTCCATGGCCCAGATCAGCAGGCTGACAGCAGACCTGAGACCTCCCTTGGGTATGAAGGTGGATTCAAACCTAATCCCACGTCCAGCCCTTGGCTTCTCGCTTCTCCCTGCCTCTCTGCTCTGGAACTCATCTCAGGCTTGGTGTGTGCCAGTTGCGGCAAAAGTGGGGCTTGGTCTGGCCAGAGTAGTAGGCGCCACAGAGCCCCTCTTGAGCTGGTGTAAGGCTACCTGGGCCTGCTGGTGGCAGAGGAGCCACCAGCCCTGCCTCTGTCTAGGGCTCTAGTGGAGGCACAGAGGCCCTCGTCCCTCTTCTTCTGGTTCCATTGCTGTCTCACTCCGTTGCGTGGTTTTTCTCCCCCTCAAAGCCCACCCTCTCTCATGCTGGGCTCCCTTTCTGTCTCTTCCTCTCCTGCCAGTGTATACTTCTTCCCATTCTGCGGTCGCCATGGTGTTTCACTGCTCCTCCACAGAAAGGACCCAGAAACCCCCTCTCGGCCCTTCCAGAAAGGCCAGAGTTCTCCTTGTAGCATCCCTTTGTCCCCATCCCCAGCCACCCGCTTAGCCGGGATCCTCCTTAGGTTGGAGCATCTGGCAAGGTTTGCAGGGCAGCATCTGGACGTCAGAGCCCCGAGGCCAACAGACACCGCCGCACCTCTGGGAGCCGAACAGCCCCGCCCGGCCATGCCCCGTCCCACCCACCAGGTGTCCTCACCAGCTCCTGTGTTCTCTCTGGCAGGAATCTTCCGAGAGTACCAATACCACCATCGAGGATGAAGACACCAAAGGTAGGGGTGGGCTTCAGGGTCCTGGACCTGCCAGGCAGACGCTACACTCACAGCTCCCAGCCCGCAAGGGCCCGGTGCCTGCCCGTGTCCTGTTCCTCTACAGAGAGCATCACTCTGGCTCCTTATAAACGGGGCACACCAGGGGGCGGCGGTGTTCCCTGCTGGCACATAGATGGTTTTTATTTTAGAGCTGTCGTATTTGCTCTAATGTGTATTCAAGGAAATTTTAATTTAACATATTCGAGTCATAAATGTATAGTAGCAATATAAATTTTCCTTTTGAAGTAATCACTTTTCAGTCTGGGCAACATCGTGAGATCCCCCCCGTCTCTACAAAAAAATTTAAAAATTTGCTGGATGTGGTGGCATGTGCCTGCAGTCCCAGCTACCCAGGAGGCTGAGGCAGGAGGATTGCTTGAGCCCGGGAATTCAAGATTGCCACTGTGCTGTAGCCTAGGCAACAGAGTGAGATGCTGTCTCTCTTTAAAAAAAAAAAAAAAGGAGAAGGGAATAAGCTTTTTTGAGTTTTTTTGAAAAGTGAATTTATTTTAGAAACATGAAGTAACAGTAGTAAAGGAAGGGAGAGCAAATATCCAGAAAGCCCGTTTGGCTGTAGGAAATAGCCTGGGAAATAGCCTGAGACCTCTGAAAATGCAGGGGTTGCTGGAACCAGAGGCTGCAGTCCTTAAAGCTCTCAGGTAGACCAGGGAGCAAACCCCAGGCTGCTGTGCTGGACTGTAGGAGAGGACACACAAGATGGCAGGAGAGGCGGCCAGGCACGGACACTGGCTGTGTCCAGTGCTTTACCTGGGCTACTTGCCAGAGTTCCGCAAGAGCCCCATGAAGGAGAGACAATCATGAGCCCTGTTCTGCAGCTGAGGAGACAGGACAGAGGGGTCTGGTAAGTGGGCCCACAGGCCCACAGCCTGTAATGGCAGGGTCAGGATTTGAACCTAGGCAGTCTGGCTTGGGAGCCTGGCTGGTAGCACCCTCTGAGGGCTTGGTGTGTGGAAAGTGCTCTTGGAGCTCCGAGGGAGGAGGAGAGTGGGCTGACCTCTGCTCCCAGGGACCCCAAATTCTCAGTGTGTCGGCACCCAGCCCTCTTGTTCTCCAGATGAGAGCTCAGGGCTCACATACCCAATATGCGTCAGAGACGTCTGGGGAGTCTCTGAAATACAGAAACCAGCTGTCGGCCTGGAGGGTGCTCAGCTGTGCCAGTCTAGATGGTTTTCAGGAGTTTGTCTTAGAATATAGAGATAGAGAAAAGAGCACTTGGCAATGTAATATCTACTTTTGTATCATTGTGATTCCATCATTAAGATGGTTTTGACTCACCACAGACCATGACTGCCTCCTGACTCCTCCAGGGCGCCTGGACAATGAGCCTCTCCGCCCCTGTGTGTCCACACCTGGTCATTCCCAGCTTGGAAGTGGGGGGCACTCTGTCACCACAGCCTGACCCTGGAGCAAGTCCATCTTCTGTGATGGCACCAGGGGCAACCCTTAAGAAGACATTATCTTGAGCTACTCAGGAGGCTGACTAAGAGGAAAACTTGAGCTCAGGAGTTCGAGGCTACAGTGAGCTATGATCACACCACTGCGCTCCAGCCTGAGTGACAGACAGAGTGAGACTCTGTCTCTAAGAAGACAGAAAAAGTGGACGGAAGGAAAGCCAAAATGAAGGAATCAAAAGAGGAAGAAAAGAAGGAATGAAGAAAGGAAGGAAAGAAGAAATGGAGGAAGAAAGAAGGAAAGATGGAAGGAAGCATGAATGGAAGAAAGGAAGACAGGAGGATGAAATGAGGACTAGAAGGCAGGGAAGACAGGGAAGGAGGGAGGGAGGGCAAAAAGACACCTGTTTTACATCTTACCTTAAAAATTCCCAGCCGGGCTCGGTGGCTCAGCCTGTAATCCCGCGCCTTTGGGAGGCTGAGGTGAGTGGATTGCCTGAGCCCGCAGGTTCAAGACCCGCCTGGGCAGGCGAGACCGCATCTCTACAATAAATCAAAAATTAGCTGGGCGTGGTAGCGCACGCCTGTAATTCCGGCTACTCAGAAAGCTGAGGCGGGAGGATCGCCGGAGCCCAGCAGGTTGAGGCTGCGGTGGCTGGGAGCGGCCACTGCACTCCAGTCTGGGTGACGGAGTGAGACGCCAACTCAAAAAAAAAAAAAAATTCCCTGGTGAGTTGAGTCTACATGGTGAGTGCCACTGTCTGATCTCCCTGCATCCCTGCCCTGCCCCTATGGATTCTGACTCCAGGATCTGACAGTGGGTGTAAGGTTGTCTGGACTCCAAGTGTGTAAGGTTGTCTGGACTCCAAGTGTGCTGTGTGGTGGCAAGAGCTGAGTTCGGGTTATGAGGAGATGGCACGCGGCCTCCTCTGTGGAAGCGTCTAGCTCTCTCCTTCCCCACTGGAGTCCCCGTGCTGGATGCACAACCTACCCAACTGTTCAGAGTCCCCATCCTCAGCAGTGACAAGGTGGTGGTAGTCAGAGCGGCCTCAGAGGATGGCCGTGCAGAGGAGCCAAGGACACACGTGTGAGTGCACAGGGCTTGGATCCTGCCACCACTAGTTCATCTTGGCTTCTTTTCTGTTTGTGGTTGAATGACAGGAAGCCATGTGACATTCTCTAGGGGCATCAGTTATACTCAGATATTATTTTAAGACAAATGTATATGTTAAACACAGAGGACTATTCGGAATAGAATACAAAGTATGTGTGCACATGAGTATACATCAGGAGCTAAGAGACGTTTTCTCCCGCCTGCCCATTGGGCCGGATCCCTGAGGCCCACACGGGAGCCACGGTCCCCTGCTCTAGGGTGCCAGGCTGGGGCCGTTTGCAAGTCTTGAATTGTGGCTCACTGCACCCCTTCTACAGAGGGAATCTGAGACTCCAAGAGTAGAAAGGGCACACGTGGCTATTAGTGGCAGAGTTGGGACCCCACTCCCTGCCTCAGTTTCCTCACATGTCAGAAAACCCCAGAGGCCATACTGGATGGAAGAGATGCGGCTCAGCCAGGAGCGGGAAGCCAGGCCTCGTAGAAAGTTTCCAGAGAACCGTTTTCTAGTGTTAATTTGTTAAGTCTTCTTACTAAGTGAGAATCGCAGCTGCTGGGGTGGACTCTGACCTGACATTAAAGTTAATTAGAAATGTCATCCTCCAGGGAACATTCTCCAAGGAGAGAGAGACATGAATATTTCAGAGGACCTCTGGCAGAGCACAGGACTGTCCCCCCCTTTCCCCCAAGCCGTGCCTGTGTGCGCCCACCTCCTCTTGGCCAGCTCCACCCAGACAGCTCCATGAAAAATTCATTTCCTCTCTGGCAGAAGAGCTGCCTTCTAGTCTGTGAGGTGTCCCAGGAGCTGCTCACCAGGAATGCTGATGCCCTCTGGGGTCTCAGTGCTGTGTGCTCTGCAGACGTGCCCTGGCCTCTCTGGGGTCTCGGCTTCTCTATCTGTAGGGGAGCCCTCCCGGAAGGTCGGGAAGCACCTGGCAGGTGGGACCGGCCAGAGGTGGCCGCTGAGCAGCTGCTGAATTGAACCCCTTACACAGCAGTGGGGGCTATAAGGGAGCGGAAAGAACCTGGAACGTCTCCGGATCTCAGAAGTGCCCGGCCCAGGGAACAAAGTGAGGCGATGCCTGCCCACTAGGCTTTGACTGTTGGCAAACTTGGTGTCCTGAATGGCTGGAGGCACAGCCGAGTCAGGTACCGTCGCAGGCTGCATTAATAGAGGTACAGTACCCAGGATTGGGGAGGAGTTAGAGAGAGCTTCAGACTTGATATTCTGCATGATTCGGGTCACATTTGACATTGTGTCCTCATATTCAGAGAGGTATCTGGACAGCCCAGGAACCCTGGAGGAGTAGATGGTCAGCTTGAGTCAGGACCTGGAGACTGTGTTCTGGAGGCCTCAGCCCCGAGGAGAGAAGCCTGGTGGGAGCAGGGTGGACAGAGAGGCCAGGGAGCAGGTACTCCCTTCAGGACCCTAGAGACACAAGGAAGACCAGAGTGGTGATCATGAGGGCTTTCCAAGGGACAGACTTCAACTAGAAAGGAGAAGATACAGTAGCCAGAGCTGTCCAGCAGTGAGTCACCACCCGGCAGGCCACAAGCCTCGGGTTCCAACCAAGACTGAGCCCCTGACGCCAGACTGCTGGGAAGCCCCCTGCCCTGGCCACAGACACACAGCTGTCCTCTAGAGCAACTCATGCTCAGGGATCTCCAGATGATAAATGGCCATAGCCCTCACCTGTGGAGAGCCAGGCATGACTTCCTTGCTTTACACGCTGGCACGGTGGATGTCCAGAACCTGGGGCAGCAGTCTTTCTCCAAGGCAACCAGACACGTACTCACTCTTTCTACTGTTAGATTCTCAGCCCCTTTAATCCTCAGAACAAGGTACATGCTGTTAAGATCTCCACTGTGTGTGTAGGGAAACTGAGGCCCAGGAAAGTCCCTTGGCCAAGGCCACACAGCTATTAAGTGGCAGAGCCAGAATCCAAACCTGGGGCGTCCAGCTCCTGAATCCACACCCTCAAGCATGTGGCCACTCAGAGTCAGCAGTGGGAAGCGGCCCCAGGAGATGAGGGACTGCCCGCCAGCTTGGAGAACGGCAAGCCGAATGGGGCTCAGAGTTCATGCAGAGATGGCAGGGGAGGTGGCACGGGGTCCACCGTCACCCCTGGTCCCCATGGGAGAGGCTGGAGTGCAGTGGCTCCTGCAGGCTGGGTCTCCTCCCATGCTCAGTCTCCAGTCTCCCCAGAGGAGAGCAGAACTGACAGGAGGCTGGGTTCTGGATTTCCAGGGGCAGCAGCCACCAGGCGCCTGGAGCAAGCTCAGAGAACAGGACAAAGAGAGCAGCCTAGGCTCTGACCAGGAACTATCTGCTCATTCATTCATTCACCCTGCACATATGCATGGAATACCACCTCTGCCTGGCCCCAGACAAGGCCCAGCAAGGTGGCATCAGCTTGGTGTGACCCAGTGGCACTCGTGGTCTAGATGGACCGATTCCCAGCCCAAGGACTCTGATTGGAGCCAGGAGAGGAAGGAATCGCTGTGCACGGTGGAGACTCACATAGAATGGTTATTGCTGCGGCCACTGAGCGCCTGGCCTGTGCCTGGCCAGCTGGGCCAGGGGGAGAGGGAGGGCTTCCGGGTTACAGACTTTGGTGGGGTCCCAGCTCCGCCGGAGTGCGTGTTCAGCATCTCTTCCCTCGGGTGTGCTCGTCGTGGAGAGGAAGGGATGCTGTGGTGGGGCTTCGAGACTCCACCACTAGGCACACAGCACAAGGCCTGGCAATCTCATCACTCATTCAATCATTCTCTTATTCATGAAGGCCACAGGGCCAGGCTCGCCCCAGGAAGCTGAGTTGGGGACCAGACAAGGGTCTGGACTCAGCAACTGCTGGGGACTAGTGTTATGGCAGGAGCGGTTGGGGCCCCAAGGCCCCGAGAAGAGCTCCAGGCTGGGCGCCAGACTCTGCCCCTGTTATATCTGTGGCTTAGGCAAGTCACAACCCCTTCTTAGACCTCCAGTCTCCCCAAGTTTGATAAAGAGGCTAGGTCCCTGGCCTCCTAGGTTCTTTCAGCTTGGATGCTCTGTGACTCTGTTTTCCAGGCTGAGGTCTCCGTGTGGGGTGGGTGCACGGGCAAGCTGGCGAGGGCAGGGCTGGAGTGGTCTCCACCGTGCGTGGACTCCCCAAGCTCCCGGGCTGAGGATTGCTAGGGTCTGGGCTCGCTCCTCAGAAGACAGGTGAAGCTACTCACCTGCAACCACTCCCGTGGGCCTGTGCACCAGCTAGGTGGAGCCAGGCCCGGGGAAGGAGAGGAGGAGGGCCTGCCGGGATATGGGTGAGGCTTCCGTCAGGCTCTGCCAGGAGCCGGGACCCCCCTAGCTTCACATCCTCATCACTGAGAGTCAGTGGCCTCGTGGTTGGAGCTGGGGCTGTTGGCCTCATCTATCTCCATGGGGTCTGTGAGGAGCAGGCGAGGCCACCCCTGGCAGGGGTTGGAGGGGCAGGAAATGCAGCACTTAGGATGCGCACCCACTGCATACCAGGCTTCGGCCCAAGCTTCGTGTCAGTCACATCACCCCAGCCCCGTGGCAACCCTGGGAGGACACTGTCATCTCCATCTGAAAGACCAGAAGACAACCTTGTGGCCCACAGTTGCACAGGCTGTGAAGACCCGGGCTGTGGTTTAGGTGACACCTGTCTGAGGTCTCGGTCTGGAGTCTTTCCACTACTTGTTCAGCTCTGTGTGAAGGAGAGCTGGTGGTGACCTGTTTGACAGATGGGGAAACTGAGGCTCAGGACATCTCACATCTAATAAGAAAATTGCCTTCTAACTCTGTGCCAGAAACACCAGACACTCAGTAACTGGGATTCATTATGGGCCAGGTCTCAGTAACTGGGATTCATTACGCCTAGATAGTTCTGGACTGCTCGGTGCCTGATTCCCATAAGCACCCGAATGGACCACAAAGCTTACCCACACTCAAGGGAGAAGAGAACCCTAAGACGCTCCTTAGTGGACCTAATTTTAGCCACAGGGGAGCTCCAGGTTCATGACTCTTAGTGACAGTACCACAGTTGATCCTGCTCTGATTCACATTGCAAGGTGGCAGAGATGCGTATTTTGGAGTCAAAACCTGGCCTGGAGTCAGCATGTCCCCGTAGATGCTTTCTGGAGGTAAAGCAGACCGGTGGAGACACTGGCTCTCCTCTTTGTAGCTGAGGGAATGTTCACACCTTCTTCGCCTTTCTGGGCCTCAGTTTCTCGTTCTCCCAGGGACAACGCAAGGATAAACCAGGCCATCTACGCGAGGGCCTCAGGTCTCAGCAAGGGGTCTAGCACATGATGAGGACTCAGGAAGTGGTCGCTGGTGCCTCCTTCCTACTTCCTGTCCCTATTATTATTATGATGATGTCTGTGTCCCTTCTGCCTTACAGTGCGGAAACAGGAAATAATCAAAGTGACAGAGCAACTGATTGAAGCCATAAGCAATGGAGATTTTGAGTCCTACACGTGAGTCAGCCGGGCTCCTGCATGCCCCGCCAGGTGCTGTTGGGGTGCCAGCGGCTGGCCCTCCCCGCCCGCTCACTCTGCATGTGCTGCGAGTGGAGAAGTTCGTACTTCTGCTCTGCACGGGGACCTGGCGTTTGACCGAGCTCTCTGTCCACACTGCTTCTCTGCCTCTCAGTCCCCCTCCTGTCTTTCTTTCTCCTTACCTCCTACTTCCAGAAGGTGCTCCGGCAAGCCCCCGCAATCCTCTGGGGAAAGAGGGGGCAGCCGCCATCCCAGCGCGGGCCTTCTCGGGGGAGAGCCGGGAGGAGGGGAGTCGGGGTCCCTGGGTCCCGCCCTTTGGGACTGGATGCTTGGCCTGGATGCCCTCGGACCTCTGACCCCAGACTGGGAGGACGAGGCACAGGCCCCAGGGCGAGCACCTCCGTGAGCAGGGCAAGCTGAGCACCTGAGGGTGAAATTGTGACTCTGGAGAGGGGGCAGCCCGCACAAAACGCCTGCTATAAGACAGGTGGGCTGAGACATGGCCTCCACACCCAGCCCACCCTGGAGGAGTGACCGTGCGCAGGGCTGGGCCTGGGCAGCGTGCCGGGCCCTTCCACCTCTCCTGGCTTGGCAGGCCCCAGAGGCCCTCGGCCGGTCCTACGGAGAGCAAGCGTTCTGGGCTCAGGTCTTAACGTTGGACGAGGCCTGCCTGGGCCGGGAGACCCCCTGTGGGCTTTTGGAGGACAGAGGCTGCTGACTATGGCCGAGGGACCTTCGCCTGTGGGGTTGAGGTGGCCTGGGGCTGGCTACCTGGGCAGCCTGTTCCGGGTTCCCACTGTGCCCGGGAGCTGCGCCCGCCTCCCGAAAGCCAGTTGCATTTACCTGTGAGAGGGTTTTGGCAACAGCAGGTAAAACTCACTGGTTCCCTCTGGAGGAGCAAGGGACTCGAAAGTGCACGTGTGAAACTGTGGCTGGCATGCACGTGTGTGTGCATGCACTTGACACACGTGTGCATGTGTGTGGCTGTGTGCACAGGAGTGCACACAGGCGTGTGTGCACATGTGCACCTGGGTATTGCATGAAAGCACAGAAATGGGCTGTTCAGCTGGTCTTGTAGCCAGTCCTTGACAGAAGCAGGTTGGAATGTATCATCCCAGTGGCTCTGGAAGGCACAGCCAGAGAGTGAGGGAAAGAGAAGTGGTCCTAGTGGCCCCAGGCTCCCTAGTGCCACTTCTGGGGGTCCTGGGCAAACCCCTTCACCTCTGTGATGTCACTTCCTCTGCCATCTGCAGCCTCCTCTGGACTCCGATCCCTTGCTATGACTGCTGGGGCTCAGGTGCCCTGTGTAACCTTAGGCCCCTTCATCTCACAGAGCCTCAGTTTCCCCACGTGTACCACCGAGTTGGAGAAGATGGCCTCTGAGTCCCTTCATTCTTGGAGGCAGGAGGGTAGCTCAGGAAGGGTGCTTCTTCAGCAGGGGGTGCTCAGTCTCCCACATGCTCAAAGTTCCTCTTTGGAGGATTCTGGAGCTGGAAGGGTCCGAATGGGTCTTGCCTTAATCCAGCTGGAGAATCTGAGGTCTTGAGTGGAGAGGCGAGTTGTCTGGGATCACTTGACAGACGGACAGAGTGACCAGGGTTTGGTCCAGCTCTGACAGTGCTGGGTCTGTCACTCCTTTAAGGTATCTCCAGCACCCTGGGCTGGGAGATTTGCTTGTCCTGGGCACTTCCTGTCCCTGGCTGCTTTGCTCTTGTCTCAAGGGTCCATGTGGTACCACGAAAGATCCCAGAGTCCTGGGGAAGGGAAAGACCACCGCCTGTTCCCTTTACTGACTGGCTGCTGGGGTCTCCCAGAAGACTGAGTCCAGAATGGGGTGGCAAGCTGAAACCACATCTTCATGTGCCAAGACCCTGGCCACGCCCCCTACCCCCCCAGCTAGTCCCTGCCTAAAGCTTAGTTCTCTTGCCGTGCAGAAGGGGAAACTGAGGCTCACAGCCAGGACACCTTTGTTCAAATTAGCAAAACACACCCCACCAGGTGCATGCCTGGTGAGCAGGAGTCATCTTTATGTGATGGAGAAGACGCCCCTCCATCGCCATCCCTGGGAAGACAAATTAGGAAAAGCCCCCTGGATCCACAGCCTGGGGCCAGGGGTGCAATTTGGAGATTGGAGAGCTGCTGAATTCCATTCCTGCGGGGCCTTCAGTGCACCACATACCCCTCTGCAAACCCACATGCCACACACCCCGCACGGCCTTTCGCGGTGCTTCCTGCTTGAAGCGGGTGAGCTCCTTGCCCAGGGCCTCAGAGCTGTGAGTGACAGAGCCAGGGCCTAAACGCAGGCTTCCCAGAGCTAATGGCACAGCAGGCAGCAGCACCCCACTGTACAGTCCGCAGGCCCTGTCCACCCACTAGTCCCACAGACACCGTGGAGTGGTGCGAACATCCCATTTTATAGGCCCACCCTGGAGGGCCCGTGAGAAGCCATCCCAGCCTCTGTCGTCTGGCTTCTCTCCCCAGGAAGATGTGCGATCCCGGCATGACAGCCTTCGAACCCGAGGCCCTGGGGAACCTGGTTGAGGGCCTGGACTTCCACCGATTCTATTTTGAAAACCGTGAGCAATCCCTTCTCTCTGGTGCCTGTTGTCTGCTCTCGTTCTGTGTCCTGCCAGCTGGCACAGCAGGGTGACGGGCAGGGCTCCCGGGGCGGCTCAGGAGCCAGCGAAGAGGAGGACCCCATGTGGACAGGGGTTGGTACCCTCTCGGTTCCTTCTCCTAACCCTGGCCCGTCAACTGCCAGCTGCCCCTCCCATGGCTGAGGATGGGGCAGGAGGTCCCAGAGACCAGGGTGTCCGTGACAAGCCCCCCTAGGCTCTCCTGCCCATGCCCCCACGGGTCTGGGAGGACCTTTGTCAAACTGGCTCACACACCCCAGTTACAGTCATCATGATGCCAGGGCGTCCCGGCTGCCCGGCTGGTCACAAGCTGACTCGTGGATGACGCAAATGCCCCCCGTGGGTGGGCAGTTTGGGAAGAGGAGAGGTCAGCGAGCTCACACTGCTGTGCCCCTGCCTGTTTGTCCAGGTCTCTGTCCTGCATGTCCGTCCTTCCTGGGCCTCTCCTCTGCAGGAGAGACCCTGGCAGCTTTGCAACCAGGGGCTGTCAGGGGGCTGTGGCTGGGTCTGACCTTGGCCGCTTTCTGCCTGTGTCTGTGTCTCCCCAGGCCAGGGGTCAGGCAGGGACGGACCAAAGGGCACACAGGTTAGAATCACACAGCGTAGGGCAGGGTGATAGGCATATCCAGAGTCCTCCAAATTCACGGTTACGTACCCCTGAGGCTACACAGAGTGATTTCAGCTGTTGGTTTCACAGTGAGAAGACTCTTTCTGTTTAAATTCTCTCTCAAGACTCAGGCTCCATCAAGGAGAAAGACTCAGCTGGTGCTAGCCTGTCATTGACACCTCTCTGCCACTTCCTAATTTTCCTCTTTAGCAAAAAGCCAGCACATCCCAGGCTCGGATCTCTTGTAAGCCAGAGCATGGAGCAAGGATGACATAACTGCTTTTGTTTACACTGGCCTTGTTATTAAAATTGTATACTGATTGTTCATTACTGATTGTGCTAGTAAGTTTTCTTTTTAAATAAATCCATAGAAATTAGTGAAGTGAATCAATTCAGGGAAACATTTCTTTCCTTTTGAGTTGGAGTCTCACTCCGTCGCCCAGGCTGGGGTGCAGTGGCACACTCACAACCAGCCCAGCATCGACCTCCTGAGCTCCAGCGATCCTTCTGCCTCAGCCTTCCAAGTAGCTGGAACTACAGGCATGCACGCTACCATGCCCGGTTAATTTTTTATTTTATTGTAGAGATGAGATCTCGCCAAGTTGCCAGGGCTGGTCTCAAACCCACGGGCTCAGGCAATCCAGTCGCCTCAGTCTCCCAAAGCGCTGGGATGACAGGCTGAGCCACCGAGCCTGGCCTCAGGGAAACATCGTAATGAAGGCAATGCAGGTGGCACTTGTATGTGGCAAAAATAACAAAAGATCTAATCCAAATCTTCATCAATAGAAGGGGAAACTGAGGCCCAGAGAGGGGAAGTGATTTGTCCAGAGGAATCTGGAAAGCCGATGGCAGAGCCTGGACCTGACTGGCCCCTAGCCTGCCCCACGTCACCTGCTCCACTGGCACTTTAGCCAGCCTCCCCTGGGTCTGACATGCCTTCTCTGACGTGCCCTCTCTGGCGCCCTCTGTGGCTGAATTTTGTAGAGCACAGAGGCTCAAGGGCACCCCACGAAGCCGTGCAGGATAAAGCTGCATCTCCCTTTAATAAATCAAATTCAAATCCTCCAAGGCTAACGATGCAGGTTGAATGCTCATACAAAGAGGTGTTTGGACCCCACAAGTCCCTATGTCCAGGGTGCCCTCGCCGGTCATGGGGGCCACCATTGTACGGGCGGTCCTCTGAGTGGTTGTTCCCCACAGAGCAGAGGAGAGCAGAGGCGAGGCTGAGGCCCAACTCAAAAGACTCAGGGATGGCAAAGGGAAATGAATGCAGAGAGGGGGCCGTGCGGCCCTCCTCGGACAGGCCCATCTAAGTGCTGGCCCTTGGGACTCTAGACTTAAACATCTAGTCATTTCAAAGGCAGAACCCACAAGAGCAAGACCCAGAGTAACTGCCCACTCCTGGTCAAGTCCTACCTTCCAGATGGCTATTTCTTCTTGCTCAGGATCTGGCACTGTCTCCCACACTACCATGAGGCTGGATATTGAAAGCCTCAGGCTGAGTACCGTAGCTCACGCCTGTGATCCCAGCACTTTGGGAGGCCGAGGCAGGAGAATCCCTTGAGGCCAAGAGCTTGAGATGAGCCTGGGCAACATAGTGAGAGCTTGTCTCTACAAAAATTTAAAAATGAGCCAGGTCTGATGGTGTGCACCTATAATCCCAGCTACCTGGGAGGCCGAGGCAGGAGGATCCCTTGAGCCCAGGAGTTCAAGGCTGCAGAGAGCTATAATCGCGTGATACAGCACTCTAGCCTGGGCAACAGAGTGAGACTCCATCTCTAAAATGTATATATAAAGAGAAAGCCTCCAATCTTTACAAAATACATTGGGGGGTATTTCTTTACAAATGGCCCTTGGGTCCACTGCCCTCACTGATTACACGACAAGACCCAGGGCTCCAACAATGCCAAGCTCTTTTGATCCCTCCTGGGATTTTTCTAGAGTGTTCTAGTTCAGTCCCACTCGGAGACTGTCTTCTTTTAGATTCTACTGCCTTTGTTTCAGGACCTGGCCTAGCTTGGGACGAGGACCTCAGTTTCCATATCTGCTAAATGAATACACTGAAATAGATGGCCTTGTGTGCCTCCTGCCCCAGATGCTGTCAGGGAGACTTCTAGAGGCCTCCTCAGATTTCGTGGTTGGGCCACTGGGTGATCTCTGAGGTCACTCCTGGGTCTACGATGCTAGAATGCTACCTTCTGTGTGTCTGAGAGCCCAGAATTCAAAGTCTGTTATCCCACATGCCTACAACTTGGTGGTTGTAGGCCTGCTATCCAAAGTATGAGTGTGGCGTGATGATAGCATTGGGGTGGGGTCTTTGGATGCTATCGTGCAACCCTGGAAGAAAAAAACAGTTGACATTTTTCAGGAATTAAGTGGCTCACAAACTGGCTGGGCATTGGGATTGGGGTTTGGAAGTAGAAGGGGCCTTTTAATGTCACAGATTCTTGACCCGGGCTCCCTGAGGGCGGGGCTGGGGATCGTGCTTTAACCCAGCTCTCTGAAAGGCAGGCTGGAGTTGGGGCCGCCCGGCGGGAAGGGGTCCTCTAGGCCCCCATCCTAGCCACTCCTAGTCACCCCCGTAGCCCTCCCCTGGCTACTGTCTCCCTACGCTCTTGTTTTTCTATCTTGATGGAAAAGATGGGTTTCTAGAATCAATGTAACAATCATGGTGGTGGTTCACCCTCGAGTCCAAGAGCTTCACATTCCCTCGGCTCTGGAAAGCTCCGTGAACTCACCCCGTGACCGCAACGCCATCCCTATAATTTCCAGGTTCTCAGATTCCACAATTCTAGCATTCCGGGAGTTTTCACAAGTTTGTATCTCTACAGTAGAGGTGGCAAGTGGGAGCCGCGGGCCCTCTGGACTGCAGACATGTTTCCATGGCTCACATGATGTTTTAAATTTGAATTAGATGCCAGTAATTAAAATGGAGAGTTTTCACGTCAAAATCCAGATGCTCTTGAAAAGCCAGGTGTGTGGACAGGAATCCCACTTACTTAGCGACCGCCAGGGAAGCTGTGTACAGGGCGCCCTCTTTAGATGGCGCAGGTGTTCTGTTCACCACAGACCCCATCACTCCCTATTACCTCCTTGACCAGGAGGCGGAGGGTCAGCTGGCATTTAGCACCTTATCCCCAGCTCAGCCCCCTCGTTTATGTGGCTGCCTGCTGCCTGGATCTTGAGATGAGACTCTGGTCTAAGCCACCTGGTTCTGTGATTGCTTTGGCTCTAAGCTTCCACGTGGCTGGGAGCCTGTGAGTCTGAAGTCCCACTTGCCTGTGTTTGAAGAATGTGGCGTGTCTGAAATCCACAGTATCTGAGCTGGGCTGTGATAGTTCCACCCCGACGGCAGGAAGCTGGGCCCTGTCACAGCAGCCCCTTCTGCCAACGTGCAGGCAGAGGAGACCCCGTGGAGGGTGGCCGGGAGGTGAGCGCAAGGCCGGGAGGCAGGAGGCCCCAGTGCATCCTCCGCCCTCCCGCCCGCCTCCAGTGTGGTCCCGGAACAGCAAGCCCGTGCACACCACCATCCTGAACCCTCACATCCACCTGATGGGTGACGAGTCGGCCTGCATTGCCTACATTCGCATCACACAGTACCTGGACGCAGGCGGCATCCCCCGCACCGCCCAGTCGGAGGAGACCCGCGTCTGGCACCGCCGGGACGGCAAGTGGCAGATCGTCCACTTCCACAGATCCGGGGCGCCCTCCGTCCTGCCCCAGTAAGAGCTCCCCCCCCAGGGTGGCCTAGCGGATCGAGGGGTGAGGGAGTCCACGGGAAGCCGCTGCCGCCTTTGACTCTGAAGGGCGGCAGAGCGGGGTCGGGAAGACCCCAGGGAGGAGGCCGGGCCTGCGGGTCTCAAAGAGCCCGGCAGGGGCCAGGGGAGGTGGCTGGGACCCCTCCTGGGTGGTGGGGTGGGCGGGTTGACCTTGGCAGCGCCTGCCGTGTCTTCCAGCTGAAGGGCCAGGCCGGGGCCGCTGCTCCCTGTGCTGCGGAGATTCACTTCTGGTCTGTGGAATGTGGCTGCTGGTTCTCCCGCGTGGATTTTGCTGGAATTCCCCCTCCCCATCACCCACCGCCATCACCTCTGCCTGCATCAAGACACCTGCTTGTTCGCAAAAGCCATCACAACGTCGGCGCGGATGGCCAGGTCTCCCGCCTGACTCCCACCCTCTCTCGCCAGGGCGGGGCGTCCTCGGGCCTGGGTGCCGGGGGTGGCCCCACGCCCCGGCTGCTGGAGGAAGGCTGGACTCCCCCAGCCCTGTGCCCACTGAGGCCGGGGAGAGAGAGGGGCGGAGCAAGGGAGACACGGCATCCGCCTGTCCCTCTCCCGGTCTCTCCTCCTCCCGGGTCTCCGGGGAAGGGCAGATGACCCTCCAGGGCCCCCGAGCCGCCCTCCCTGAGGAAGAGGGCGAGAGAGGAGTGGACACCAGGCGTCTCCCGCCTCAAATGCCTCCCTCGCGCTCCCCTCCCCGTGCCGACCTCGTGGTGGTCGACTGGCCCTTCCCCTCCGCGTGGGGGGCGTGACCCTCTCAGGTGCCCCCATGTGCTGCCCGCTTCCTCCTGGTGAAGCCCCTCCCTCCCCGTGCGTTCGTCACCCTGGAGAATTCCAGCCTCATCCTAGCTCAGAGAGGGAATCTAGTTGTTTCTTGGGCAAGAGAAAGCGACGTGTAGGTATCACTCTCCTTGGACAGCATGCCTTTTTATAGCCGACTTCCATGTGTTTCGTAAATGGATTCGCGTTCATGGACATGTATGTCGTAGCTAGACCTCTCCAGCTGTCCCGAGAAAGGCGGGGTTGGGAGGGGGCAGGAAGAGGGGTGGGCTAGTTTTTTTCTGTTCTAGATTCTCTTTTTGTTTTGCTTTTGGTCCTCTCTGAGTGGCCCTTGCCACCCGCGGTTCTCTGGGGCTGAGGTGTACTCCGTCCGGGGCAGAAGGGCCTCTCTGTCCCTTCGGTCCCCAGGTGAGCTGACACAGGTGTGCCCTCAGGACCACAAAGCAGCAGAGTCGGGATAGCGAGGAGGGAGAGGCTGTCAGGGTGGGAACACCGAGCTTCCCTGCTTCCCTACCTCCTGGATCCCGACTCCCGCACCGCAGGGACCCCCCCTCCGTGCTGTGGCTGCCCCTGCGCCCACCTGCCTCCAGGGCCTCACACGAGTATGTCTTCGCTGCCTCCCGCCCTTGGCGTCCTAGGGCCAAAGCAGAGCTCTGCGGACTTCTGTCCACCACGCCTCCCCCTGCAGCTCGGTGCACCCTCTCGCTCTTCCTCCTCTCTGCCTCCCACCCCCCGGGACTGACTGATGTGGAACACCTTGGCACATCCACTAGGACCTACTGTCTGCACTGTTTTCTTTGCATGACTTTATATGCAGTAAGTATGTTACAAATAAGAAAAGAAAAAAAAAACACTCAGCAAAACCAATCTACATGTTTTGGACAAAAAAAAATAGAGGTTGTATTCTCAGTGTCCGACTCAGAATCATGTCGCTGCCTCTCTGTGCTTTTGGCCTCTGTGTGGCCGTGTTTGCCAGCATGAGATACTGTCCCCTCTGGAGGATTCTAGGGGAGGAGAGCCTAGGGTGCTCTGGCCCTCCCGGTGTTGCTTGGAGCAGAACTGGTGAGGATGTTTGATCCGGGACTTCCTGAGTCTCCCTGGTCACGAGCTGTCTGCTGGGCTCTTTTCTTAAGTCTTGCTGCTGCCTGGGCACAGGTGGGACAGGCTGGGCGGGAGCTGCAGGCCAGGAAGCATGCTGCCTAGGCCTCCTGATTTCCAAGCTGGCTCTATCCTCGGTAGAGACCCTGCTGTCTGGCCCTGGGTGGGCTCTTAGCCTGCCCCCGGCCCAGAGGGCTTCCCAGGAAGGACCAGTGATCCCATGCCCGACAGCAGAACCGACTGTCCCCGTCATGAGCTGCCGGTCCCCTAGAGCCATCCCCAGCCAAAGGGGAGGAGGGCGTGGCCTTCCCCAGGAGATGCTACAATTGCTGAGGCGAGGCCTGAGCTCTTTGCAGCCTCAGTTCCCTCATCGGCTGGAAGGGCTGAGTGTTCCCACACAGCAGATGAAGATCAAATGCAGTGGCACACGAAGCCCGAGACGCCGGTGAGAACCGACGGGGTTGGCCCTGGCTGGCCTCCCGTTTGCTTCCGGACCTGGCCAGGCCTTTTAATTTCCCTCTTTGGTGCCTGTCGACTGCTTATCAGCAGTGGACTGCCGGGGAAGGAGCGGTGTCTGGGATTAGTAGGCTTCCCTTCAAGCTGTGAAGCCTTCGGCGAGTCCTTTCCCCTCTCTGGGTCTTGGTTTCCCCACTGGAGGAAACTGAGCGGGAGGACCCCAAGGTCCTGCCTTTCATTGGCCAACACGCCTCCTGCCCACCCTGCCCTTTTTCACATGCTGGAGCAGTGGAGGCAGGTCCCCTCCCCCGGGCTGCGATGGCCCCATGGCGAAGGCCCCGCCTGTGGGGGCCCCGAGGGTGACCCTGAGGCAGCAAGCAGGGGAGACTGGCAGGCAAGCTGCCTGGAATCCCCCCTCACCAGACAAACTCCATGTTCCTCTGAAACATCCTTTAGACGCAAAAAAGCCCAAGTCACAGCCCAGGCTCCAGCATGCACCTGAGTTTACAGGAAAGTACTCTCCTGGGTTCATGCCTGCCGAGTGAGAGTCCCGCCCCCGCCTCCTGTCTCCCGGCAGAGGGAGACCCCGTGGGGGGTGTGTTTGCCAGACTCCCCGTGCTGGTCTCTTTGTTACTATTTGTTTGGGGTTTTGTTTCAGTTCTTTTTGTTTTTTCATTTCTTTTTTTAAAAAAAAAATGTGGCTGTGAACTTGAATGACCACTGCTCAAACTTTCTGCTATGGGGGGGCGGGATGGGAAGAAGGGGTGTCTGTTTTATTCTTGGTGTTTTCAGTGCAATAAATAGCTCCACACTCCTGTGCGTGTGTGTCTCCTGTCTTCACTGAGCCCCTGGCCGGGAGGTCTTGTTTGTTTTCTGTTCTAGGTCTGCTGCGCAGCAAAGTCCGTTTAGGTCGTCATTCTGATTGGACCAACTCAGGTCATGGGCTCTAGGCTGAGCCAGTCACTGTGGAATTGGGCCTGGACCATGGGCCCACCTTCAGAGCCTGGGATGGGTGGGTTCCTCCCAGGCACCGGGGTCCTCTCACTAAGAACAAGGGGGTGGACATGGTACCTCGGGCAGCCACGGGCCAGAGGCTCCCTCAGACCTTAAAGCAAGTTCTTCCCTTCTTGGTCTGTTTTACTGGATAGTGAGGAGGTTATTTCAGCAAAAGGTCCCCAGCTGTGCTCGTCCCTCAGTCCTGCTTCACAGACAAGCCCCTGGCCCCCAATCACCAGGGAGAGCGATTTGGGGAATGAAGAAGGAGAGGAGGGGTCTCTACCCACAAACATGTGTGGGTCAAGTACCTGGGGCAGGGGCCTAGGGCCAGAGACGAGGTTGCTGAGAGGGGATGTCCACTGCCGCATCAGAGGCAGCTTTGATGCTCTGAGCCCGAGCCTCTGGCCAGGCAGAGCCAGAAAGGTGATGCAGAGGCCTTGGGCCCTCGGACCACAAGCGAGTGGCCAGTCTTCCATGGCTTATGGGAGTGGTTCGGTGCTAAACCAGGACAGGGCCAGGCAAGCCAGACCAGGAGATCAGAGGTGGGCACCCTAAGCCACGACCCGGCCTTCCCAGAGGCCTGGACTCCACAGGGCCAAGGAGAGGTGCCCACCTGAGCCCGAGGTCCCCTCTAGACTGTGCTTGGATGCCGGGACTCCAGAAACCTCACCAGGCACTTCCCGGTCTCTCCTCACTGCTAGCGTGTGGGGTGGCCTGGAGAGTGTCCGTGGAAGTGTGGCCCTTGCACACCCCTGAGCACCTTCATGGTGAGAGCACAGGCCAGAGCTGGAAAGAGCATGAGGGACCCCGGGGGCTTTCATGTGCACCTGGCCCCGGAGTCCACAAGCACTAGTGCCAGGATGCCTCCCGGCCCTGCCTCCACACGCTGTATTCCCACCAGGCGGGACCTGAGGGCCCAGCGGCTATGGCATGCACGTGCCAGCAGGTGGCAGCACATGAGCGGGTCACAAGTGGTCTTATGCCTCTGCACGTCCACCATGCTCTGGACAACATCCTCTTAACTCTAAATAAAGGACCAGCCCCACCCAAAACACTACTGTGATCTCACTGGCGCGTGATGCTCTAAGTTCACAAGATGCTGTCATGAACCACCTCTTGTCCCAGTTACAACAGCCCTATCTTGGAGATGCAAACAGTGAACCTCCGAGGCAAAGGGGCTTCTTGGGAGACGGAGCCGGGCCTCGCTCCAGTCTCTGACTCAGAGCACCGTGCTCTGTCCCTCCAGGGTCTCCCTTTCCCTGGTCTGTGCGTCCTCGTCCTGATCTCTGGACAGCCAGCAAAAAGAACGGGGATTCTGAGGACCTCCCTCCTTTCAACCCCCGTCCGCTGCCAGCCACTGCTTCATCTGGGGCTGTCTACATCGCAGTCTCCACACTCCAAACCCACAGCAAAGGGCCGGGTCACCCTGGCTCTCCCTCTGGACATAATGGCGGAGTCTCCCCTGCGTGGGCTTCCCCAGCTCCTCTCCTTCCTCAGCACAGGTCACTGGGCTGAATCCACCTGAGCCAGCATCTGCATGACTGCGTTCCTTGAAGGCAGGATGGCTCCATGTCTGGCTCAGGTGACATGACAGCAGGCACTGTCATTTACACAGAGGAGTGCACACTGCTCAGGACGGAGGGGTGGAGGCGGGGACGGTGCTGGTGGACAGGAGCCTTCCACCCATCCCACAGCTACGGCCGACACGGTGCTGACAGGTGACGCACTCCCTCCTGGGAGGCACCCTCTCCGTCCTCAGCCCCTTTCCCAGGGGCACAGCTCTTCCCTTCATTCCAGGGCCAAGAAGACTGTGCTGCCCAAGGAGGAGGGAACTGCCCAAGACGTCCCGGGCACGAGGGAGGGAAGTGAGGTTCAGCCTCACATTCTCGGAAGCACCCGTGTGCCACACCTGCTTCACTGGGCATGTTGGGTTGAGCAGGCTCTGAGCAGGGCTCAGGGTAGGCTAGACCTGTTCTCCCGCCCTCCAGGGATCCCCAGTGCCATCCCAGACAGTGGAAGACGCGCAGAGAGAGAGGACTTGGGAAAGGTTGGGATGGGGGTTAGACCTGGAGGTGCCAAGTGTGTGATGCTCAGAGGCAGGAGCAGGGACGGAGATGGGGCTGGGGGCTCTGGGGAGGGGCTGGGCAGGATGGGATGACAGGCGTGAGAGCCTGGACAGGCTGGGCCAGAAGAGTCTGGGGCCCAGCAAGCCCTGAACCTGCCACAGTGCGGCCATGCCTTTCTAGGCCACGAGTGGACCCCAGCGTGGAAGCAGCCTTCCCCAGACCTGGGAAGTGGCGCGTCTTGCAGGGGACATCCCACAGCAGGTGTGGGAGTGTCTGCACAGGGCAAGGTGGGGCGGGTCCAGGCCTGAGGGGATGGCCCCCTCCACATCCTTCCTGCTGGGACCAGCCTTGCCCTCCCTTCTCTACCAGGGCCTACCAAGGCCTCGGAGGTCACAGCCTCCCTGTCCCAGGCTCTGGGCTTCCAGAAGAGGTGAAGGGCACTGGAAGCGGACTGTCGCTTTCCCTGACTGGGGAAAAGGAGGTCGTCACCCTTCTCTCCCTGTGAGACCTGGGGTGAGTCCCATGTAACTCCTCCACCCCATCTCGGGCCTCTGTTTCCCAATGAGCACAATGACTTGAACCCGTGGTCCCCAAACATGGGACCTAAGTGCACCGCTGTGGAATCGCTCAGGGAATTTGCTAAAAAGACGGATGTCTCAGGCCCCAGTCTCAGCAAAGGAGAGACGTCCGTCTGGGCAAGGGTCCAGGCAGCTGTGGCTTTAGGGAGAGCCCAGGTTTGGGAACCCGCATCCAGCCCTCCTCCCTGGCCCCACAGTCACGGTGTGACCCAGGCTGCCCGCTTCCCCAGCCTCCTCCCCGGATCAGCTAGATCGGTATTGACCGTGGGCCTCTCCCCTACCTCTGATACTTGCCACTTTGGGCCCCGCAGATGGCCGAGACCCTGGCCCCGGGTCAGCAGAGTCAAGGTCAAAGCAAGGCTGGGACCCAGATGATTTTACCGCCATGCCAACTCCTGCGAGGCACCCCCGCCCCTGCCTGCCGGTTCACAGGGCACCCAGCTCACAGTGGGCAGAATGAGACTTCCTTCCCCTGGGTGGGGCCCATCGTAGATCCGTCTCCGAAGAAGGGGCATCGGTCCACTCCACAGCTCTGTGGCACTGCTCTGGCAGAAGGCTGGATGGGGGGAGGGAGGCAGAGGCCTCCTTGGTCACCTCTTCTCAGGGCACTGTGGAGGCCACTGTCCCTGTTCAACCCCTTGGTTTGGTTTCATAAATGGAGACTCTCAGGCCCCCAGGGTACGTCCCTAGGGAACTGGATGGTGCTGGGCTCCCGGGGATTCCCACCCTGGGCATCCCACACCCTTCCTTCTCCCTAGCCTCAGTTTCTTCATCTGTATAAGGGACAGCTGGCCAGTGAGAACCAGCCCAGCTGGAGGGTTTCGACTGCCACATTTTGCACTGAGTACTTTTTAGTTTTTAAAAGCATAGATGGAGCATCTATATTATCTCATTTAGTTCTCTGCGAGGGGAAAACCATTCTTTCATCTCACGTGGGAGGACACGGGTTCAGAGAGAGGAAGTGGCAGATTCAGCGGGTCCTGGAGCGCAGATTTGACTCCAGTCAGTGGGTGTCCAAGTCCTCCTTGATGTCTACTGGCTATAATTTTGCTCCGTCACTCTAGTGATCCTCCCACCTCGGCCTCTGAGTAGCTATGACTACAAGTGCACTAATTTTTTTTTTTTTTTTGAGTTGGAGTCTCACTCTGTCGTCCAGACTGGAGTGCAGTGGCCGCTCCCGGCCACCGCAGCCTCGACCTGCTGGGCTCCGGCGATCCTTCCGCCTCAGCCTTCCGAGTAGCCGGAACTACAGGCATGCGCTACCACGCCCGGCTGATTTTTTGATTTATGGTAGAGATGAGGTCTTGCTGCCCAGGAGGGTCTTGAACCCGCGGGCTCAGGCAATCCACTCACCTCAGCCTCCCAAAGGCGCGGGATTACAGGCTGAGCCACCGAGCCCGGCCGCCCGGCTAATTTTAAAGTCTCTCTCTATATATATTTTGTAGAGGTGGAGGTCTCGCTATGTTGTCCAGGCTGGTCTTGAACTTCTGGCCTCAAGCAATCCTCCTGCCTCTGCCTCCCAAAGTGCTGCCACGACAGGCACCACCCACCACGCCTGGCTCCTTGGTTACAGTTTTCTAGGAGTTACAACTCACAGAGGTTGTGGACTTGAGCGGGAAAAGTCTTTCCCGAAACAAATGTGATTCTGGCTAGGGGTGCCAACAGGAGGCCTCCCTTTGGCCAAAGAGGGCGGGCTGCTCGGTCCTGGGGGAGACGGCTAAGGCAGGAAACCGAGCGGAGACAAAGTGGGGGTGGGGGTTGTGGGGGCTGCTGGCCAGGGATCCACGGGCAGGCAGGCGGCCCTGGATGCCCTTCCAGGGCAGGACCAGCGTCAGCAGGGCCCCAGGCCCGGGGGGGAGTGGCCTGGAGCTCCAGGAACCAAACTTTCCATGAGCCACCAGCAAAAAAATGAGTCTGGTGGAGAGCATGGACCACAGCCCTGGGGGTCACGTGGAATCCAGAGGGGCCTGTGCCGCCTTAACCCTTTGCTGGTCATCCCCAGAGCCACCAAGGAACTGTGTTCTGAGGCCCCATCGGCACAGCTGAGATCCAGCCAATGGGGCCCTTGGGTGCCTGAGCCACGAGGAAAGCCAGTCTCTGTGCTGGAGCCAGTGGTGGGGCAGAGACAGACACGAATGAGCCCCCCTGGCAATACCTGTGTGTCACACGCCCACCGATGGCCTGTGCTGGGGGTTGCAGTGTCATCCCAAGCCTGTGGATACTGCCACAAAGTGGGAGCTTTCATTCCCACATTTTACCGGTAAAAAAGCGAAGGTGTAGGGAGGTGATGTGATTTCCCCAGGGTCACACCGCCAGGGCAGGGCAGAGCTGGGAAACACCCCTGGTCGGTGTGGCAGCGCCTGGGCTCACTGCCCTGCACCCTGGTGCCCTACATAGCGTGCTGGGGTCCAAGGACCTTAACTTCATGGATATAGGGTGGCTGCATGGTCTCAGGACATGAGTGCCTGGGCAGGCAGGGCTGGGCGGTCGGGACTCTCCGGATGAAGGACTGAGTCAGACCCCAGAAGATTCCAGGAGGCCACATCTGGTTGAGGATGGAAGAAGGCTTCCAAGGAGGGCGTATCTGGGAGCAACTTAGAGGGATGGCTAGGATCCCAGCGGTGCAGGGAAGACCTTGGAGCAGGGAGAAGGCGCTGCCTAAGCAAAGTCCTGGAGGGAGGACAGTCAGGCCGCTCAGGGAGCCCAGAGTATCGGGAAAATGCACCTGGCTGGGGCCAGAGAGGGGGCACAGGAGGCGGGGCCTAGTGAGAACGCAACATGAAGGTAACCAGGGCGACCCCTGGTGTCTGCTGAACCTCATGTGGCCTTGGGAATGTGGCTGACTCTATGGTGTGGGGATGGTCTCCCCCTCTGCTCCTCTCCCTGTTCATTCTCTGAGATCACTGGGGCCTGGGCAAGCCCCGCCTCCCTGGGCGGCTCAGCCTCCAAGACTGCAAAGCACAGGCCCACAGAGAGGTCGACAGGAGCAGAGAGGTTGACTAGCTGAGCTACGCTGTTTTACACCTTATGAATCCATCGTCCACATTTCAAGTTGGGAAAATTCTGACAAGATTTCCAGCTGCTCTTAAAAAAACAAGGCCATCTGGCCACCTGGGCCCGCGTTTCTGAGAGGCAGCTGCCCGCTTAAGATAGATGAGCTTCTTCTTCTGTCCACCACAGTCCCCAGCACTCCCTCCTGTCTCTCCAACACGCACTGAAGGCCAGTTGCCATTTATTCTCTTGCTTATGCCCATAGTTTCGCTCCCCCAGTGTCCTTGGCTGACCCTGCAGGCATGTGGGCTTGCCACCGCTAGGACATTCTGGGGTTGCAGGCTGGGGCTCTGCTCCGGACAGGGCTGGAGTCTCCTTTGAGCTGGCGGGGCTCCCTGTTCCTCAACCAGCTCCCACTGTAATCAGAGCCAGGCTGGGGTCTCTTCTGAGCCAGGACGACCTAAGCTCATTGACAGGATCGGGAAGCGAGCCGCTGGGAGATGGTGCGGCCACAGAGGGAGGAGAGGGAGGGGCGGAAGAACTGTCTGGGAGCAGAGGAAATGGAAAAAGCTGGGGACTGGGCCAAAGGCCCAGGCAGGGGCAGGAGGAGGGAGAAGGGGGGAGGTGGGACAGGGTGAAGCTGGTGGGACCCACAGGCTCCTAGAACCATCTAGTCTCACACCTGGAATCTGGGGAGAAGAGAAGCCTGAACTCCTGGCTCCTCCATTCCCGATACCCAAGACACCTGGCGTAGCAGCCCCGGCAAGGCCACGGCCAGCCGTCAGAGGGTACCTCGTCCCAGCAGGCACCCTGGGGAGGCTGGGTCAGGGCCTCAGCAGGGCCTCAGCGGGGAAGAAGCGCCCTGAATGGTGCAGGTCATTCTTGGACACTTTGCAGATCTGCAAATTCACCTCTCTTTCCCACCTGGAGCACCAGACAAAAGGCCTGGGAGAGGGCCCGGCCCTTTGTTAGGGGGAATTTATTAATATCGGGGTATGAGGACACCCTCCCTTTCCACCCACAGTCAAAACCTTTGCAAACACTAGGGCCTTGGGTTTGAGAGGCCCGGGCTCTTTTATATGACTAAGAGGGCGAAGGTGAAACCAGAAAACACCTTCCAGCCTGGGAAGCCCTTGACTCCGACCCACCTGGGTCCTTCAGCTCCAGCCCTCACTTGTCGGCAGGTGCCGGGAAAAGAGCATGCTACCGGGCCCTGGCTTGCTGTTTCCTCCAGGCTCTACCCATCTTGGTTGGTCCCCTTGAGCCAGCCTCTTCCCCTCCATGTGTCCTTAGGTATAATAGGGAGCCTGGTAGTCTCTAAGGGCTTAGAGTTCATCTTTCTTTCTTGTTTTTTTTTTGAGTTGGAGTCTCCATTGCCCAGGCTGGAGTGCAGTGGCACACTCACAGTCACCCTAGCATCGACCTGCTGGGCTCCGGTGATCCTTCCACCTCAGCTTTCTAAGTAGCCGGAGCTACAGATGGACACTACCACGCTGGGCTTAGAGTTCATCTTTCTTCCTCAGCCCCTGATTCCCGCCAAAGGGAAAGGGCAAAGCCAGTGTGAAGCCACCCGTATAAACTTAAAGAAGGTACACAGTTATAACTGCAAAAGGGACCCGGGCAGCTACGGCTAGAAGGGAACAGCACTGCCATTTCTAAGTTGCCTTCAATTCAATGAAGAGTAATTGACTATCTTCATGTCCCGATGCCTGGGGAGGGAGGAAGCTGCCCATGAGACTGATAAATATATTTTCCCTTAAACAGTGAGTTTAAGATGGCACAGAGCTCCTTGCTGGCATCCGAAGCTTGATCGGCCTCAGGGCCCCGCCGACCGCATGGCTCTATAACAGCCTCACTGTCAGGGTCAGGAGACTTGGCCAGGGCCCAGCTCCATAGACAGCCTCTATTATGAAACCTAAGAGTGACGCTTCAGATGTTTTTCAGACTTTGCACTCTGATGGACTCGAGGCCCCACCCAGACCTGGGACACACACAGAGACTGGATCCCCCGTCCTGTGACGCCCCCTCCCAGAAACTGAAGCTGCAACATGAAGACAGTTTCGACACCCCACGACATCATCAACAATCAGCAGTCGCTAGCCCCCCACCCGCCCACCAAATTCTCTTAGAAGCCCCAACCCTCAGTCCTCAGGGAGGCAGATTTGAGGAAAGTCTCCTGTCCCTCTTGTTTGGCTGCTTTGCGATATAAAACTCTTTCTCTGTTGGAACGGCTGCATCGGTCTCAGATTTTCTGGACATCGGCATAAGAGCCTGGGAGGCCAGAGGCCAGGAGAGCAGGGAGAGGAGGGACTCGGTGTCCTCATCTGCCCAGTAGGAGCTGGACCGCCCTGTCTGCCCTCAGGCTTTCCACAGTGAGGAGACAGGGTGAGGAGTGTGACCTCATGTGTTTATTAACAGTAACCAACAGGACACAGATGGCTGGGGGGCACCGCGAGAGACGGGCCCAGGGGCTGGTCACAGGTGTGTACGGCACCTGTCCCACTGCAGAGGCCTGTGCGGGCATTTCGGCCCCTACCTCCTCTCCCAGAGCCCACGGCATCCAGCTGCCCTCTGCCTCTACCCTCATGCGGGCCCCGGAGCAGGTGGGCAGCCTCAGGCCCAGGCAGCCATGGGAGCACCACCTCTGTGTCTCGAGGCTGTCCTGTCCTCACCAGCAGAGCCCCGCTTCCCCACGGCACCTGGAGCGGGGAAGACAGTGAGGTGCCAGTGCAAGGGGATGCGAAGACAGGCCGGGCTACCTTGACCTTGGGCAACTGCTCTGACCGGTGGGTGAAGGGGACCCTTCTCTGACGTGCCGGGCACCTCTCTGTCCCCACCTGCAGCCCCTGCTCCAGACGTTCCTCAAATCTGCCTCTGGCTGGCTCAGGCCACCCCTTGTCCACCCCAAACCCTCACCTCCACCCACCTCTTCTCACCCAGAACTATGCTCTCCACTACGCGAACCCCCCGTCTACCCTGTGGTCCCCCGCTCCTGTCTCTGTCACTTCTGCTTCCCACTTGAACCCTCTGTAGCCTGGCAACACTTGCATCTCCAGCACCCTTGGCCTCTGCCCCAGGCAGCTCAGCCTTCCCCTGGCCTCCTCACCCTTCCCTCCTCTTCCTCTCTCTGCAAACCTTCCCATCCTCCAGGGCCTTCAGCTCCCACCTCCTGCAGGAAGCCCACCCCGCCTGAATGCACCAGGGGTCTTCCTTCACGTGACCCTTCGTCCCAAGGCCTTGGGGGCCTCAGAAGCCTCTGCAGCCCTGACTCTCCCCCGCCAGCTCTAGATTCCAGCTGTGCGGAAGTGTGGGGACAGGCTCCCCAAGAAAAGAAGGGGCCCTACAGAGATGAGAAGGTGGGCCCTGCAGAGATGAGAAGGTGGGGTGGCTGTAAGGAGCTGGCTGGCAGGAGGCCTGGAGTCAAGTTCCCTCTGCCGCAGGACCCAGGGCCAGTCGCTCCCTTTCTGGCCTCAATCTCTCCATCTGTAAAGTGGGCTGAGCTGGGGCACTGTCAGCTTTGAATGGGTCTGTGTGTGTGTGCACGCGCACACGTGTGTCTGTGTGTGTGGAGGGAGTTACCAGAGACTCCAGGCAGGTCAGAGACCATAGGAGGGGCTTGTACCCGGGGCCCTCATCGCCATGGCCACCTTCCACAGCCTCTCAGAGGCCCAGAGGGCACGGCTGCCCTTGCAGGCCCTACAGAGGGGCTGGGGCCGGGCAGGGCTCCCGGGGGCGGGCCTCGGCCTCACATCACGGACTCCTCCTCCTCTGCGATCTCGCGGTCCACCTCCACGGCCGTGTTCTCGAAGCTGGTGATGCCCCCGTACTTGCGCATATGTACCATCAGCGGCTTGGGCGACTGGCTGCCCGCCAGCGTGGCCACGTACATGCCCGTCCGGTTCTCCTCCAGCGACGGGCCCCAGTCCATGGCTGGTCGGCTGGCCTGCTGGAGACGCTGTGGCCGTGGAAACAGGCGGTGCTGGGGGCGCTTGCTGTGGCCGGGCACCCAGAAGCCCTGATCCAGCAAGGGGGAGTCTTTGCAGCACCCTGGGGCTCCATGACTCCCCGCGGGAGCGAGCCACATGCCTGGAAGGGAGCCCCACCCTGCCACAACACACTGGACGGCCTCAGCAGCGCCCCTGGGCTTTCCACACTCCACTTGCTGGTCCGGGGATCCCGAACCCTCTCAGGGTGGCTGTGGGGCCCTGACAGGTGCATTCAGCAGGGGGCTGGGGACAGGTGGGCCTGGGAAGCGTGAGCGTGAGGACTCCGAGGCAGGCTCTTGAGTGCCCAGAGGCTCGTCCGGGAGCCCTCCTCTCATCAAGGCAGAAGGAGCTGGGTGCTGGGAAGGAGCCAGGGCCCGGGAACAGAGGCAGCCTGGCTTCGCAGTGGACTCCTGTCTGTCCTGGCCCCCACCTTTCCCATGGGAGCCCCTCATGCCTCCGTGGAAGGATGGAGCTGACTAAGGTCGTGACAAAGCCTAGACATTCAGTTCCCTCCTCCAAAGTCACACTCCCAAAGCGCTCCGCCTGCCCCGCCAGGAAGAGAGCTCCTGGGCCCGTGAAGGAGGCTGCCCCCATGAGAGGCAGCCACGGGGGTGGCTCGAGGGAGACACTGTGTCATGAAAGACCCGGACTGGGCCAGCACAGCTGGGTATGAGCAGGATGACGCTCAGGAACATGCACTGAGAGTACATCCCACGCCATTCAGAAACCTGCAGTGACCCTTGGCCCACCTGGAGTGAATCCACCGTGGGCACCGTGGCCTCCAGCTCCCACCTGTCCACCCCCCTACCCCGGCCACCTCCATCCTTGCTCCACACGGCTCTCATGTGCCAGCCCTTGCCACAGGGCTTGTGCACCTGCCATTCTTTCGCCTGGAATGCCCTCCCCCCGAAACCTATTTGGCTCACTCTGTCCCTTTAGCCAGGTCTCTGCCACGTCCTCAGACAGGTCCTCCTGGCTACCCTGGACAAAATGCCATCTCCACCACTCCACTGGCGACTGTCGGTGGCTTGTTCTGGTTTTGTGAAGTGCAGCCCTTACCTTGCTATAGTCTGCCTCCCACATTAAAACACAAGCTCCCTGGCCGGACTCAGAGCTGCCGAAGACTGGACAATGTGTCCAGACCAAGCCTGGTGTGAGCACGCCGACATTTAAGTCTGGAGAGTTCTTTGCCGTGGGCCATCCTGTGCATGGGAAGCTGTCCAGCAGCCTCCCTGTCCTCTACCCACCAGGTGACAGTAACACTTCCCTCGTCCCCTGTCTCCCTCCAAGACAACCAACTATCCAGACATTGCCAAATGTCCTCTGAGGTCCAAACACCCCGAGAACCCCCGGGCTGAAACTGAGCACCCACCATACTCCAGCTCTGTCCTGTTGGCTTCTGTAATCTTTTTGATTTTATCTTATTTTTCATGAGGGGCTCATTCTGTCACCCAAGGGGGAGTGCAGTGGCATAATCATAGCTCACGGCAGGCTCAAACTCCTGGGCTCAAGTGATCCTTCTGCCTGGCGTCCCAAAGCACTGGGACGACGGGCAGGAGCCATAGTGCCTGGCAAGCTTATTTAATCTTCACAGAATCCTAACTAAAGGGGTGTTAATACCTTTTCCCCCACCCCCACAGACATTATCTGAACGTTAACGCTTAGAATGGTTTGTTATGTCGGCCAAGGTCATACAGGTGGGAAGTGGCGGCCCTGAGATTTGACCCCGTTCTGAACTTTCAAAATATGTTGCTTTTCTGCCTGCCACAATGTGGACTACATTGATAGGCTCCTTTTTTCCCCTCTTCCTCACAGCAGCCTTATGGATAGGTATCCCTGTCCTTATTAGAAACTGAGGTTCGGAAGGGCGTGGTAAGTTGCTCAAGGTCAGGCAGCTGACACCGATCCTCACGTGTCAGAGCTGGAAGCCCTGGTCTCTGAGGGTGGCACTCCTGAGCTGGGCAGTACTCCTTTGCAGTGCTCACAGCCGGCGGCGACTGTGGGGGAGCCAGGCATCCCAGCACCCACGACCTTCCTGGGAACTGGAGCCCCCGCCCTGGGCAGCTCCTCTCCTTCTTTTCCTGCCAACACCCTGGCTCTCAAGCAAAGAGACAGGCTCCTTTAGGGGCAAAGGGGCACTCCTGAGGTTCAGAGAAGGGAGGAGTTTGCCCCAAGTCACACAGCAGTCTGAGGCAGAGCAGAGGTGGGGGGGTGGCCACAGCCCACTTCTGCCTGGGAAGGGGGCGGGGCTGAGCCTTTCCCAGGCTGGGCCTGAAGGAGAGGTGAGGGCAACTGAGGGGTGGGGAAGCTATTTGGTGGTGAGGAGGGGGAAGGGGGAGAGGACACCTGCTCCGTAGCCAGTTTCGGGGTAAATACCCCCAGCACGGTCCATTTCAACCCATCCGTGATGTAATCACTGCACATTCAAGGATGTGAGAGCGCTCAGGACACCCTCTTGATGCCGCAGCACAGCTGGTGGGACATGTGTGTCGGGGGGGTCCCCAGGCGCTCTCTGGGCCCCATCAGGCTCCCTCAAGCTCTCTTCACGATGACAGTCTCTTGCCACTGCAGAACGCCATGCTCTTATGGAAGGGAAGGGCTCAGTGTTCAGAGGGTGCCTGAAGCTCAGACATGAGGATTTCGCCACAACCACAGCTTGTCGCTGTCCCACAGGGGTCACCACACCCTGCTCAGGGCCTGCAGACCCCGAGCCTGGCAGCTTGGTCTCTTTCCCCAAAACCCTGGTCACCGGCAGGGCTCCTACCATCATTCTGTCAGGTCACCTGGGCGCAGAAGAAGAGTGGCAGCACCCTGCCAGGTGGGTGTCGCCGTTTGACCCTGAGTTCCAGAGGAAAGCTCTGGGCAGGAGACCCAAGTTCAAGTCTTGATTCCCCGCCCAACTCACAGTGGGACCTCGCACCAGCCTCTTGTCATGGGTGGTCTTTGGACTGCGCCACCCCCTCCCAAGGCCCCAGGTGGTATCAGGTGCTACCGGGCAGGACTCTAAGACCCAAAAGGGCCTCGGCCCGAGTGAGGCCCTCCAGGCAGGGTCCTGGGTCAGGAGGGTGAGAATGCCTGGGCAGGCGACTCACCTCCCAGAGCGAGCCTTCTTCCCGTAGCACGGCCACCAGCATACCGGCTGGGATCAGGAGGCAGGACAGCAAGCCCATGAAGATGCCCAGCAGCTCGGCCCAGGGCGGAAAGCGGTAGTTGCCGTACTCTGAGGGCTGGTACTTGACGATGCTGTACACCAGCAGGGCCTGCGGGGAGACTCTGCATCACCAGGGCCTCGGGTGGGTCCAGGGTTTGGTGGCCCAGGTCTGAGCGACCCTAGGCCCGAGGAAATCCAGCCCAGAGCCACCAGAGTCCTATGCTGTCCTGGAACCATCTCCGGAGCCTCGACAAAGCCTGGGCCAGCGCAGCTCCTGGCAGCCCTGAAACTAAGGCCTGAAGGAGAGGTGAGGGCAACTGAGGGGTGGGGAAGCTATTTGGTGGTGAGGAGGGGGAAGGGGGAGGGAGACGTGCTCCGTAGCCAGTTTCGGGGTAAATATCCCCAGCACTGTCCGTTTCAACCCATCCATGATGTAATCACCGCACATTCAAGGGTGAGCGCTCGGGACACCCTCTTGATGCCGCAGCACACCTGGTGGGGCGTGTGTGTTGGGGGGGTCCCCAGGCGCAGCCCAGTCCCCAGATAGCCTACCATGAGCTGCTCCAGCACCGAGACCAGAAACATAACCTCCAAGCCCAATACCCTGAGGTCTGAGAACACCCCACCCACTCACCAACCAAGTGTAGGCCCCGCACGAAGCTGGGGCACCCAGGGGGGATAGGAGCTTGGCGCCCACCTACAGCCCTGACAGAGGTGCCACAGTGGGATAGGGAGGCCCTCCCCGATGGCACGGAGGGGCCTCGCTCTCCACCCTGGGGCCCCAGCCAGCTGCCCTCCCGCCCAGGAGGGAGTTACCAGGAGTGTGGCTGGAGACAGGAACAACCAGCAGGCCCTGAAGTAGAGGCCCGGCTTGAAGCCCAGCATCATGTGGATGTCCCGGCAGAAGCGCTGGATGCCTGTGAGGGGAGGGAGCAGGATGGCCTCACCTGCCAGCACCCAGCACCAGCTGCCCTCCCCACCCAGCTGCCTCCCCCCAGAACTGGACCCACTGGAGCAGGGCGCTCCAGGGCAGATCCCGCCCTCCTACTGCAGGAGTCTCGACTTCACCCCCACGCCCTCCTCACTGTACACCTCGTCACGGCCACCCTCCACACCCTTCTCACCGTACACCCGCGTCACGGCGAGGCACGTGGTGATCACCACCACCATAAGCCCGAAGCTGGCACTGTAGTCATCCAGAAGGACCAGCCAGTACATGCCCCCCTGGAATACAAGCCACCTCTCAGGGCCCCTCACCGGCCCTCTCTCTGCTGCAGCCCCCTTCCCTGGCACAAAATGGGTCAGCTGGAGGCACAAGATATTAGGACAGGAGCTGGCACCCTACTGGGCCTTCTAGGCCTCATCTTATTTGAGTCTCGCCCACCTCAGCCTCCCAAGTAGGTGGAACAATAGGCACATGCCACCATGCCTGACTAATTTTTAAATGTTTTTGTGGAGAAGGGGGTCTTGCTATGTTGCCCAGGCTGGTCTAAAATTCCTGGGCTCAAGTACTCCTCCCACCTTGGCCTCCCAAAGTGCTAGGATTATAGGCGTGAGCCATGGCGCCCGGCCTAGCCCTCTTTTGTTGAACCCGCTTTAACTGATGAGGTAAGGTGGGTCCGGAGAGGGGAAGTCAGGTCCTGAAGCCCCTCAGCAAATGCGGCAGCAAGGTTTGAAGCCAGGTCCTTCAGACTAAGACTTCACAGCCAGGACCCTGGTCGCAAGGTCAGGCTGCCTCTCTTGGGAGACAGAGGCTGGGGACCAAGCTCCTTGCAGAGAGGACAAGGAGATAGCTCAGGGGCTGCCAGCCACTCCAGAGACCAGCTGCCTGCCCTGCCCACCCGCCCTGCCCACCCCCTGCAGCGCCCTCACTTCAGTGGTGAGGATCAGCCCCATGAGGTACATGGCCAAGCAGACTAGCCCGGAGAACACCGCTTTCTTGGGCCGCAGGGAGTACGGGAACTCATCCGTCACAGCTGTCACGATGGTCTCCAGAAAGGCGAACTGGGAGGAACAGAAGGGGTGGGGCCAGAGTTCCACCTCACGCCCACCCCCACAGGTAGAAGTCACGTGTGTTCACACCACACACACGTACATGCATGCATACACAGATGCACACGTGTCCACACATGCATGTGAACACAGGCGTCACAAGGTACCACGGCAGGGCACATGCTCACCTGGCTGTCCAAGCCCAGAGTCAGGAGCATAAAGAAGAAGAGGAAGGACCAGAAGGGTGACAGGGGCAGCATGGTCATGGCCTGTGGGTAGACAACGAAGGCCAGGCCGGGGCCTGGGCCCAGCGCTGGGGTCAGCAGCCTGGGGTCCTCACACACCTCACACCTGACCCTCCGCCAGCCCCGGGACACACTGTGGGCGCCCGCCCGGTGAGTGCAGGTTGTGGAACAGATGAGCTATTATGGGCGCAGGAAGAAACAGACCCAAATGGAAGCCTCAGACACTCTTCTGTACACAGCTGTGTGCACAAACAACCCTGCGGCACACACACTGCTGCATACCCACCGGCACGAGACACCCACAAGGTCATTAGTGCCCTCACCGCTTGCCCAGACATCTCCACACAGGACACAAACGAGGCACGAAACAGCACTCTCACACAGAAGCCCACTTACCTCCAGACACAGGTTGTGCACACGAATGTGCACACCACCCTTTGCACACGGGCACCCAGAGCCCGCTGGGACATGGTCATTTGCCTGCACACATGTGCACACACACACAACGACCTTGCTGGCCACACCCAGGCTACCGGCCCAGTCCCTCCGTGCCCGACGCTCCCTCACTCACACGCTGCTCTGCCCACCTGCTTTGGCTACTTGGTCCACAGGCACGCCCAGCTCCTGAGACATGTAGCCCAGCACGGAGAAGATGGCGAAGCCTGCCAGGATGCTGGTGATGGCGTTGCCCAGGGTGACAATGAAGGTGTCTCTGCCAGGAGAAGCCCGTGCTGGCCAGGGTGAGACGGGCTCCCGCCACCAGGCCCGCCCGGCCAGTGCTTCCCTCCCACTCCACCCCAGACCTGGGAGGCCACAGGCACTGACCTGTAGATGTTCTGGTGAAACGTGTTGTAGGAGGCAAAGGTGAGGAGACCCCCGAAGCCCACACCCAGGGAGTAAAAGATCTGAAGGGCGGCTTCGATCCACACCTGTGGCGGGGCAAGGAGAGAGGGGACGCAGCGGGGCAGGGCGGGGGGGGTCACAGGGCAGCACAGTCAAGGGCCTGCTCACAGTGATGTGAGCCGAAACACACCCTGCCCCCACCTGCACTGCAGGGCATGGTAAGACACTTCCCCTCTGTGGGTCTCAGTTTCCCACACAGGATCTAGGAGACAATCACCAAGCTTGGCTCTGATCTGAAGGACATAGCACCCACTGCAAAGTTCCTAGGAGATTTGTGTTGCCAGTAGCCCATGCAGCCCCCAGATTTCCTGGGGTGGAGGGACCTGGACTCGGATCCAGCGTCAGCCCTTCCTAGCTGTGCACCCTGGACAAGCCACATGGGCCTCTAGACTGCACGGCCCTTATCTGTAATGAGGGGTCAGACAGTGCCCACCCCTCGGGGAGTCAGGCTTGAGTCAGAACACATGGACCACATGAGCCATGTGGCCAGCAGGCCACCCTTCCATGAGGAACACATGGCAGTCATCAGCACCAGTAATGCTGTCATTGTCACAAACGCCCTCCCTGGGGCTTGGAGCCACAGGGATCTAAACAAGCATCCGTACTCTGCCACTTCCTAGCTTGGGCCCTTAAGTTGATCACAAACTGTGGGGGCCTCAGTTTCTTCAGCTGTTAAACGGGAACACAGCGTTTACTTCATAGGGTTACCAAGAACCGTAAGTGAAGAGTCATGTGTAATCAACGATAGCACACTGTATACTTGAAAAACGCTGAGGGCAGATGTTGTGCTCTCACCATGAAAATGACACGTGAGACAATGCGTACGCTAATTAGAGTGAACGCATCCACAATCCATACATGCTTCAGAACACCAGGTTGTATGTGATAAACATGCACAAGTTTATCTATCCGCTTAAAGTATAAATCTTTTTTAAAAGACTAATCGAGGTGAGAGGATTGCCTGAGCCTTTGGGTTCAAGACCAGCCTGGGCAACTTGGTGAGACCTCATCTCTACAATAAATCAAAAACTTAGCTGGGCGTGGTAGCACGTGCCCCTAATTCCAGCTACTTGGGAGACTGAGGCAGAGGGACTGCCTGAGCCCAGCAGGTCGAGGCTGAGGTGGCTGTGAATGTGCCACTGCGCTCCAGCCTGGACAACAGAGTGAGACTTCAACTAAAAAAAAAAAAAGACTAATCAATGACAAAGACACACAGGGGCCAGGCACCGCTGGTGCTGGGCTCACCGCTTTCCCCAGGGAGGCTTACTGTCTGTCCCACCTTCCCCGGAGACCCCTCTGCACCCTACCTGAGGCCTCACCTTGGAAGACAGCAGGTGGTGGAACTGAGGGGTGAGATAGAACTGGACGCCCCTCCAGGCCCCTGGGAGCGTGACTCCGCGGACCAGCAGCATGAGCAGGATGAGGTAGGGGAACGTGGCTGTGAAGTACACCACCTGCGGGCGGCAAGGTCAAGGCTGGGCCTTCCCTCCACCGTGCCTCCTGGGAAGTCCTTACCTCCGTCCTGCGCCGTCCCAGCCTCCACCCTCTGCACGACTAATGACAGCACCGCATGATAGACCTGCCTCCCTAAGGCACCCAGATCCATCTCCACAGTGGCTACAGGAGTCTCTTCCGGGCCCACTCTCTGCCCCGCACACCACCCACGGCCAGCAGGCATGGACATCCCCACCCTCCCCTCCGCTCTCCCGCCCCCTGTCCCAACCTCAGCTGGCCCTCAGCAAACACGCCAGGTCCCAGCGTCCTCACTGTCTGGCTCTCACCACCGCCATGCTCCCCCCTCTCTAGGGGGCCCACCCTGCCGTCTCGCCCATCTTTCCATGGCTCCGTTCCTCACAGGAAACACTTCTCAGCACTTTGCAGACAAGTTCTGAAGGACAAGTTCTAGTTCATCAACGACCTTGGGAGCCACTCAGGCTTCCAAGTTTACTCTTCCCATCCCTTCACTGCCTAAAGCAAACGTCTGGTGCCTGGCCTTCCTGGAGTCTAGCATGCCTTCCTCAGACAAGAGCACCCCAGCTCTCCCTCAATGGGGCTGACTCCATTCCCAGAGCCAGGAGTGGGCATGTGATCAAGCACAGCCGGCAGAGCCTTCCACCCTCCCAGCCACACGGATTGATTTCAGGGACGGATACACGGCCCAGCTTACCCAGTGAGACTCAATTCTAGGATATTGTGATTAGGGAAAGAGACAACCCCTTCACCAAGTTAAGATGAAAGCCTAGAGCTGCCAGGGGCAGCCCTGCTGCAGAGAGAAGTCCCAGAAGAAAGCATATTGAGAGACCAGACTTCTGATAACACCCACGGAACCCCTGGATCCAGCTGTGCCTGAAGCACATCCTCTCGACTTTCCAACTTAGTGTGACACTAAGCTCAGGTCACTTGCATCTCAAAGAGCCCTGACTCATATGTCCACCGTCCAAGCATTTGATAAACCCTCTGGGTTCCTTCAACATGCCAAGTACTGAGTAAAAACACACTCTAGTAACACGTAGGCCAGCCTTGGCAAACTTCTTGGTAGCTAGGAAGCAGCCTGGCCCGCTGGGCGTCCTCCCCTCCACATCTCTCTAGACAGTACTCCAACCTCAATTCCAATGCCCTCTCCCTTCCTCTCTTCCCAGATGAGGTCTATTCATCTTTCCAGACTCAGGCCAGGCCCTGCCTCCTCCAGGAAGCCTTCATCCATCCTCAGGCCTGGGCCTCTCTGGCCTCACCTTGCCTGAGGACTTCACGCCCTTGAGGATGCAGAGGAAGACGATGGCCCAGGCCAGCAGGAGGCAGAGGCAGAGGTTCCAGCGGATCTCCCCGGGGCTGCCGATGCCACGGCTGCCTTGGATGTGGAGGACGTGGCGGCTGCAGAGGATAAAAGTCTGAGCGTCCTCTGGCCACCCCACCTGGCTGCACATAGAGCCACGATGTGCCCAGCCCACAAAGCCCCACTGCTGTTGATGACCCCTCCAGTTCCTTTCCATCCTCTGGCCAGCTCTGTCTCCAGAGGCTGACCTCTGCAGCCCCAGCCCAGACTCCGTCCTCTTTGGCCTCCATGTGGGTTTGGCTGACGGGAGGCAGCAGCAGGGAGCTGGAGTGTGAGAAAAGCCAGGGGTCTGGTGTTTGTACACACACCGTCAGGGACCTGTGTCCTTCTCCTGCAGACAGCCCTTCTTCCCAGGCTCTGATTCCCCTTGGTTCCCTCCCCGGCCTCCCTGGTCCGGGGTGGTCATGGCTCTCCTAGTGCCAGTCCCTGACTCCTCACCTTCCCTCGTGGTTTCCTTGAGCCTTGGAAAAGTCCCTTCTCTAAGCCCCCTCCCGCGAAGCCCCCTGACTGCACCTTCCGTGTCCTACGCAGGCAGGAGGCCATGGCTCTGCCACGCAGACCCCTGTAGCTGCCAGTGTCCACATCATACTGGTTAGCTTAAGCTGCAGGCCCAGGCCTGTCCTTTCCCACTGGCCAGACACCCGCCTCAGCAGGTGCTAACACTTCGGATGGACTCAAATGACAAACGAATGTACCATGTAGTACACACAGCTTGGAGGCAAAACCGCTTCAAGACATGGGGTCCAAGTGGGGGAAATTCCCAAGAACCATGATCCATAAGTGAGGGGCCGGGGGTATCTGGTCTGTGCTCCCTGGCCAGCCAATGGTCTCTACCCAGGGATCAGGCTACTCTAGAATGTTCCAGAACAGGACCAGGAAGCAGGATCCCTGAGTGCCTACACTTCCTCAGTCACTAACTACTGAGCTGGTCTCTGGGCCTTGCTTTCTCAGCCATAAAGTGGGGCATGGGGACAGCCTGAGGGCATGTCCTTCCAACACCTGCCGCCCCTGGGACCCGCCATGCACCTGGCCCATGAGAACGGTTTGACCCGTGTTCCTCATTAATTCTCATGACGGCCCCTCCCTCTCTACGGCTGTGTCTCTTCGAGTTGATGGATCTGAGCTGGTCCTCACTGCCTGTGGTCCTGGCCCCATGGGAAGGGCTTTCCCTACTGGCATAGCAGGTGTTCGACACACTCTTAAACAGAGGGTAAATGGGTGCGTAAGTGGCTCCTTGGATGACATCCCGTGTGGCGGCACAGCCGTCAGCCCCTGTGATGGAGAAGGACATCGAGGCTCTGGAATGCTCCTATGACCACCAGCAGCAGCAGCAGCTGGCATGGCCTGAGCAGCAACCAGCTGCCCAAATGCCTTCACAACCACCTTCTGAAGTCCCACGGTGATTGTCCCCGTGATAAAGATCAAGTGACAGAAGCCAAGAGTTGTTCGAGGTCACAAGGTCAGCCAGCTGGGCGGGCAGAGAGCCGGGATCACAAGCCAGAGTCCCCCTGACGCCAGCTTAGGGACCATCTCTGGGGCGTGCTTTAGCCCCCTGGGGACGCCGGCGCCTCCCTGCCCCGCCCACTCTCAGCCACACGCCGCCACCCACGCCGTGGCCATGGCTGGGCCTGACCTCCAGTACTCCTCGCTGGGGCTGACGGTGCCGCTGAGGTTGAGGGGCAGGGCCCCATTGCCGTCGTGGGAACCGCGGTGCTCCCGGCAGAGGCCCGTGTTCCACGTGTGGCCGCAGTGCTCCCAGGGCAGGCTGCTGGTGAGGGAGGCGAAGAGGTAGAAGAGCACGTAGGCGATGATCATGTTGTAGTAGATGGCCACCAGGCCCACGATGAGCAGCATGGCCGCGCCGGCACCTGAGGGGACAGACGCCCGCTCAGTGCCCGAGGGCGCCTCTGGGAGCCGGTGCCTTTCTGGGCGCCACCTCCCTCTCGCCTGGAGCTGGGGGTACTGTGAGGCAGCCTCCCTGCCACCCCCGGGCACTGCCCCGTCAGCCCTGGGGACCACAGAGGCCTCACCTTTGAAGAGAGGGCTGATTTTCCAGACGGCCAGCGGCCCCAGGCTGGAGAACTGGCCCAGGGAGAGCTCCAGGAAGAAGAGGGGAATGCCACAGATGGCCAGCATGAGGAAGTAGGGCACCAGGAAGGCACCTGCGGGAGGGGGGCAGGGGTTGGGCCGTCCCCAGGTCCAGCGCTGGCCCCACCCACCCTTGCCAGCAGCGGGCCGGGTGGGCCCTGGGGGGCTGTCTGTCTCTGTGCCAGATCACGGATGCCCAGGTAGGGAGGGACTCGCCTCTGCGGCCCAGTGTCCAGAACAGAACCACCCGCCAAGGGAGTGAACGAATACACGAGAGACGGAGAGAGCGGGCGGGCTTCCTCCTCAGCCTCAGAATCCGGTCCGGTCTTTCAGCCCCTCCCCCCACCTCAGACACTTGTGGCTGCCACCTGTGGTCCGTGGGCCCAACATTCCGTCCCCTTCTCTTCCCATCCCAGCAGCGTCTCCTTTAGAAAACTGCCCACCGCCATATGGCTCTAGAAGGGCTGCCTGGCACTCTCAGCAGCCACCCCTGCCATGGGCACCCAGCCCAAGCCAGACCTGTCAGGGGCCCGCCCTGCTGCTCTGCCTGGGTGCACTCGGACAGAGCAGCTCTGGAAGGCGCTGTGGTTGCCAAGACCGGCGGAGGGCCAGGCCCTTGCCGAGTGTCTGTGGCCACCCCCCACCGACGGCAGGGGGGACGCCTGTCGAGGTCAGCACACAGACAGCATAGGGCAAGGGAGAGGGAGAGCCCAGAGACACTGCGGATGTCACCGCACGCCTGGGGTTCCAGAGGCCAGCTCCAGTCCCGTACGTCCTGGTCACAGAAATGTGCCTTGCTTTGCTTCCTCTAGCTGGATTTGGATTTCTCTCACTTTCTCAACATACGCTTCCTTAAAACGTTTGGAAGCGACAGAGGAGACCTAGGGCACCGGTGATGGCCCCCAGCCCTGGAAGCGGGGGTCCTGGCTGGGGACATGAATCCGCCTCCCCACTCCTCGCCCCCCATGCCCAGGGGTGGGTAAGGTGGTCTCCAGGCCCTGCCACCTTGCCATTTCCTTGGTGCCCTCCCAGGATGGTCACCCCCCATTTCTGTGACCCCCCCAAGAGGGTCACCCCCTCTTTTTCGTGGCACCCACCACAGCAAGCCCGGGCCAACGGTTCAACCCTTGGATTGCTCATGAGACTTGGAGAGTCCCTTGGTGGGAAAGTAGGGACAATAGGAACGTTTTTAAGACGGAAGACACTTTGTGCTTGCAGACCCAACGGAAGGAACGAGGCAGAGGAGGGAGGATGAGGGTTTCAGAGCGGGGAGTGATTGACGGAGCCAGGCTCTGGAGGAGGTGGGGGTGGGGGAGGAAGTCAAGTATGGGAATCACGGACAGGCACTCCCTCTGCCCAGCACGCGGCCCACCAGCCTCAGGGAGGAGTCCACGGGTGGCCATCCAGGGCATGGGAGCATGATGACAGGGACAACCCAGGGGAGCTCCCTCCCCAGCCCCGGGACTCTAGACCACTGGCAACCAATTCTGCCCGAAGCCACCTGGGAGACGGCGGCAGAGGCTACCCGGGAGCCCACAACCCCTCGGGCCCTGGCCCGCACCCCCTCCGTTGGTATAGGCTCGGTAGGGGAAGCGCCAGACATTGCCCAGGCCCACGCAGTAGCCGATGCAGGACAGCAGGAAGTCCAGCTTGCCCGTCCAGGTCCCCCGGTCGACGGCAAAGTCCACGTCCAGGTCGACGTCGCCCTGGTCGCTGGGGGTCATCAGCAGATCTGGGGTGATGGGCTGCTGGTGAGAGACCGAGGGGTGGGGAGAAGCGTGAGGCCTGGCTGGAACGGCAACCCCAAGACCAGAACGTGGCCCTGCCTGGGGCCACATGGAAAGGCTCTCCATGAGTCCGGATAACCAAGCGCCCTTACCTGGACTAACCTGGTCACGTGCAGGTCAGCCTCTGGGCTTTAGGTGACCACAAGCTCACTGGTCCTGCAGGGTGGCTGGGGCACTAACAAAGCTCCCTGACCTCAGTCTGGCTGACACAGAGGTCAAGCCAAGGGGTTGTCCTGTGTTAACGAGGATAATGATAACGGATATGATGGTCTCTAAAAAACAGTTTTTTTAGAGACAGGGTCGTACTCTGTCACCCAGGCTGGAGTGTAGTGGCACAGGCTCGAACTCCTGGACTCCGATCCTCCTGCCTCAGTCTCCTAAGTAGCTGGGACTACAGGTGCAGTCATCACGCCTGGCTAATTTTTTTTTGTTTTGCTTTGTTTTGTTGTGTCAGGATCTTGATACATTGCCCAGGCTGGTCTTGAACTCCTGGCCTTAAGGAATTCTCCCGCCTCAGCCTCCCACAGGGCTGAGATTACAGGTGTGGACCACTGCTCCAGCCAGATATGATGTTAATACCAGTTCCTGTGCATTGAGCCCTCATGATGTATTCCCTGCCACAAAAATTTCACTCAAATAGCCTGATCTTGTTCTCAAGATGACGCTGAGCTAAGCACTGATCTAAGCTCCATTTCCATCACAAGGAAGTCTGAGGCTCAAAGAGGCACCGTGACATCCCAAGTTTCCACCGGGTGGCCAGTGGGAGAGCCAGGATTGGAGCCAGAGCCTGATGCGGAAGCCTATGTCCTCCCCCGCCAGTGCGGGAGCTTCATTCCTCTGTCCTGGGCACAGTAAGACAGAATGTGGCACGTGTCCAAAGGGCAGGTGGCCAGACTGGAGGATGCTCAGGAAAGAGGTTCCAGGAGGAACCCGGGAACTCTGGGCATGGAGAGGAAAGATGAAGCTGGGAGTCCTGGGCATGGAGAGGAAGGATAGCGAGGGCTCGGGTTCCCCCGCAGGAGATGTTAGACTGTGTCTGTGGCTCAAGGGGGCCTCCCAAGGCCTGAGAATTTGGATTCATGAGCAGGAAGATGTTACTTAAGCCCTGATCTGTTCCAGAGAAAGCCCTGATCTCTGCCTGGAGGAGAGATGAAGGCACAGAGGGGAACGGAGGGCAGCTGCCCCTGACATCCTTCTCCCTGTCAAAAGGGAAGCCCTTTGGGCATTCTCCCTTGGGAGACCCTCAGTGATGGTGGTGACCACAGGTGGTTTTGCTATGGACTCTGGGGGTAGTGCTGACAGGCCCAGCCTGTCCTGATTTTGGGTGATGGTGACAATGACAGAACATGAAAAAGATGGGGGTTTTTGTTTAGTTTTTGTTTTTGTTTTTTTAGTAGAGGATCTCTCTCTGTCGCCCAGACAGGAGTGCAGGGGTATAATCACAGCTCACCGCAGCCTCACCCTCTTGGGTTGAAGAAATCCACCCTCCTCAGTCTCTGGGACTGTAGGTGGGCGACACCATGCCTGGCTAGTTTAAAAATTTTTTTTGTAGAGACGAGGTCTCACTGCGCTGCCTAGCCTGGGAAAAGCTGCTTTTAAGTAACTAGGCTCCAAGGTTGAAACAAATACATGCCTGAGTTCTCTGGCTGTGATACTGGACATGCTGGGGCGAGGGCAGCAGTTGTTCCCAGACTTGCCTGATATCCTTTACCATGGCTACTGGGGGGCATCAGCCTTCTGGAACCTCTCCATCCCAGGTGAGCCCCAGGAGGGATGGAGTGGCAGCCAGTGACACAGGCTCCTGGCACCGGGTGGGGGCAGGCCTGTCCCTGACCCCCATGCCCCATTCAGGCCCGCCGGCAGGAGGTCCTGGTAATGAGGCTTCTCTGATACCTCCAGAGAAGCTGCCCATTCCACCCTCATGGCTAGCTCCCTGTTTCCATGGCGACAAGAGTTCCCAGAGCAGGATGCTGCCAGCTTGCCCCTCCCTCACCTCCCCCAATCGGAGGGAAGCTGCCTGGACTCCAGGGGCAGGGAAGGGGTCCTCCAAAGCTGAGCCAATCAAGAGCCCCTCGGGAGACCCCCACATCACCACGGGGTGACCCTTAAGGAGGCTGGACAGTGAGGATGGGGCTTGACGGGAGACAGAAGAAAGCAAACCAATGAGGCAGGCTGGAGCTTCTGGTTGCTTTCTGCTTCTGCCTGTGTCCATGCTGAGTTCCCCACCACCCACCCCAGGGTCACGCAGGAACACACGCCTGAGTCTGCCAGACCTACGTCCTCGCTTTTGGGGACCAGCAGAGGTAGGCACCACAGCAGGGGCTCAGAGACACAGGACCACCCAAGCCAAGGTTCTCACACCTCCTTCAGGACAGAGAGAGGCAACAGAACCTGGAGTTCAAGTTCCTTATCATGTGGAAGAGACAACCAGGTTCCAGGAGGGGAAGGGATGAGCCCAAGGCCAGACAGCAAGTTAAGGGCGGAGCAAGATGTGGAACCAGATCCCCTGACTCCCAGTCTAGTGCTCACCTCTGAACAATGCACCTCTTTGCAAGGCCTGCATTTTCTCCCTCTCTGTCCCTTCTCCTTGAGACCAAGGGAGAGGTCCCTGAGAGGAGGTGGCTCACCTCTGCCCTGCTGGTCTAGCTTGCTGAGCCGGCCTCACCCCTCTGTGCCTGTTGCCTTGTCTATAAAGTGGAGATCACAAAACCTAGCCCCCAGAATTGCTGCAAGATGAAACGAGGTAAGGCTTGTTCAACTCCCAGCCCAGTGTCCAGCAAGTGCTCCAGTCGGAATAAAAAAGATACACTTACCAAGCCCGGCTGCCCAAGGGCAGAGAGCTGGAATGAATGAGTCTGAGTGTGTGAGTGAGTGAGAGTGTGTGAATGTGTGACTGCGTGTGTGTGCGCGTGTGGGGGGGGGGCACTGATAACACCAGCCCCTGACAACAGTCTTCCCCCTCCAGCAAATCCTGCTGGCAACTGGCCAGAGGCACTTCAGGTTAAAGAAGGAACTTGTCCAAAGCCACAGGGCAGGTTGCAGCCACACAAACAGTACCCAGGAGGGCTGACTCCTCACCAGTGCTAGAGCTTTCCAGCCAAAAGCCAGAAAACTGCCCCAGGATCCCAGCTCCACACACATTCACAGCTTGGGGGTGAGGCCCAGTCCCAGCAGGCAGGTTGGGAGGCTGAGGTCTGGGCTCCCACCGCCTCTCCTCTGGCCTGTGGCTGCCTCTCCTCCCGGCCTCTACCACCTTCCATCTTCCTCCCTACATCCTTGGCCTCCCCTTGCCCCTCCCCCAGCCCTCCGGAGGGGCTGCCCGGGTCCCAGCGGGGGAACCTCCAGCTTGGGGAGGAAGCAAGGATGGTCTCAGGGGAGCCGCAGACAGTCGGAGGGTCCCCGCGGGCTGTGGGGAGGCCCAGCGATCGGCGCACAGGTGAGGGCAGGGTGCACACCCCGCTCCACCCCCACCCGAAAGCCGTCCAGCTCCCGGCTGGCGCTCAGCGCTTCCAGTCCCCCACACCCCGGGAAGCTGGGGAGAGACGGGGCTTGGCCCCAGCCGCCCCTGCCCGCGCCCCGGGCTGCAGACACCTGTTCTCAGGGCGCTCCGCGCTCCACCCC